TATAGATTTTAAATTTGTTTCAGATATGAAGTGAAATTGTATATTTGCATGAGACATGTAATTGTCTTTCTGTAGTGTTTTCTGTGACAGTCACTAAAATCTGTATGGGAAATTATAGTACTGTATTGTACTGTGGAGTGCCATACACTTGACATAGAAAAGTTCTCCCTACTAATTCCAAGCAAGATTAATCATGCCAGTGGAGGATACATTGTTTGTTTTCATAGTGATGAATCTTCTGCTGCTCCAAACTTGAGACCTGCCTTGTCCAGGAACACAACCTGCTACAGCTACTGTAATTGCAATTTAATTTGCCAGTCCATTAAAATGTGCTAAAACAAAATACTGTAATTACTTAACCCTTAAACTGCCAAAGGGTCTAAAATAAATGTGCCCTGAGTGCCAGCCATTCTGAAAAAATAAATGAAAAATACAAAAATTAATTTATCAAAAAGTATCACCCTTTAGAAGTGTAAAAAGACAAGAATGAGTACAATTGGAGTAGTACTTATGGAGACAGGAAGTTTGAATGTGACCTATTCCTGTGTTTTCTTATATGTAGTACTGTATGTCACTTCTCTTTATTTTTCAGTAATACTAAGGAAATGGTGTTTCCTGGCTCCCACAATGCCCTGTACACCTATGGCCTAGACCTGTTTTCTCTGACCAATTAGGACCATTTTGGAGGCCCAAGAATTTTGACGTAAATAGACGTCGGTATTTTCCCAGATGGCGTAAATTTACGTCATCAGCAGCTTAAGGGTTAAGCTTTAAAATGTTTGTTACTTTTCAAAAAATGCCAGTGTGGTTCATGTAACCAAGCTTAGCATTTTAATCCTGTTGAATGGAATCAAATGCTTCCATCTATGAAAAGATAGTGTTCTATTAGCATAATTATCAACTGTGTTCCCTATAAACTATACAAGTTGTTTTTATCTGATAATTACAGAGCTTTCAGAATAGTCTTGAACCTTAACTAGATATGAATTCTGTTGTGTTTGATAGGTAGGATCAAGGAAGATGTAAGAAATCATCACAGAGTGCTGGGTTGGTGACACAAGCAGTGACGTGCTTCTGCTACACACTGTGTACTCCCTAATATTTAGGGCTACTGTATTTATAAATTTCAATAAATAGATAAATTAATTTTTAATTTTTATAATCTTAAACTTATTTTTGAGTAAAGTTATGTATATGTTGATTAAGGTTATTGCATCTTCCTTGTTTTTATTCAGTGTCTTTGTGATGCACAAATTATAAGATCAATTTCCTTCTGTGTTTTTTGTCTCAACATTTTGTATCACAAAATACCCATGGACAGCTAACATGACTTTCAATAAATAATATATGACACATTTGCATTTTACAATCTTTTATTTTGTCTAATATGAAGAGAGAGAAGCATGAGGCCTCATAGTTCAGTTGTTAACAGAACTAGCCTCTGCCCCTCAGCCTTGGTGCCAGTCAGGGGCTTATGATTTAAGGACTTGAACCTGTCCCTTTCCCTGGATTGAACCTGATTGCCTTCCATTCCTCCAAGTGCATTCCCCAGGTACTCTTACGAAACCAGTGTCTTGACATCAATGAACACCTCCAATTCTCATGGCATTATGACACCCTACATTATTATAATCAAAGAAAGCATTAAACATGTGACCCCTACAGGTGAGGGTCATTTTGATGCAGTGGAGATGTCCTGTTTAAGAGCAGTGTGTGGTGTAAATATTATGCAGAAAATTCGGAGTGTGGAAATTAGGAAAAGGTGTGGAGTTAATAAAAGTATTAGTCAGAGGGCAGAAGAGGGGTTGTTGAGGTGGTTTGGTCATTTAGAGAGAATGGATCAAAGTAGAATGACATGGAAAGCATATAAATCTATAGGGGAAGGAAGGCGGGGTAGGGGTCGTCCTCAAAAGGGTTGGAGAGAGGGGGTAAAGGAGGTTTTGTGGGCAAGGGGCTTGGACTTCCAGCAAGCGTGCGTGAGCGTGTTAAGATAGGAGTGAATGGAGACGAATGGTACTTGGGACCTGACGATCTGTTGGAGTGTGAGCAGGGTAATATTTAGTGAAGGGATTCAGGGAAACCGGTTATTTTCATATAGTCGGACTTGAGTCCTGGAAATGGGAAGTACAATGCCTGCACTTTAAAGGAGGGGTTTGGGATATTGGCAGTTTGGAGGGATATGTTGTGTATCTTTATATGTGTATGCTTCTAAACTGTTGTATTCTGAGTACCTCTGCAAAAACAGTGATAATGTGCGAGTATGGTAAAAGTGTTGAATGATGATGAAAGTATTTTCTTTTTGGGGATTTTCTTTCTTTTTTGGGTCACCCTGCCTCGGTGGGAGACGGCCGACTTGTTGAAAAAAAAAAAAAACTGGACATGTTCTACCCTTCCTTGGATCAAACCTGAATGCCTTCCATTCCTAGGCATTATATGACCCCTATGGGTATAATGCTTTCCTTTGATTATTTTCTTTTTAACAGCTGTTTCTCACCAAGGCAGGGTGACCCAAAAGAAACTCGATAAGAAAAAAAACTTTCATTATCATTTAACACTTTCACCATCACTCATACATAATCACTGTTTTTGCAGAGGTGCCCAGATACAACAGTATATAGTCACTCCAAAATGACAGTATCCCAAACCCCTCCTTTAAAGTGCAGTCACTGTACTTTCCACCTCCAGGACTCAAGTCCAGCTAACTGGTTTTCCTGACATTTGTTTATTACAATAATCAAAACCAAGCGCTAAACCACCAGGGTCATACAGCGCTGCAGGGTCGAGGTTGTAAGGTCAGTGAATAGTGCTTAAAGGAAGTGTAATCAAAGGTTGTGCAATAAATCCGTTGCTGACAAAAAGTCAAAGAGGGAGTGTGTCAAAGGTGGGGCTGTCAGCAAGAAGGGAAGATAAAGTAAGGGTGTTAGAGCAGTGATTATGTCAAAGATAAATTCTGCATGCTCACTGATAGACTGGACAATCCAACAGAATATAGCAAACTGAAATTGGAACTTGGCAATTCACAAAGAGTGGAACTGGGCGCCTCTCCGTGAGATACCCATGAGTAAGATGTGTGCGCTCAATGTGTAGACAGGAAAGCGTAGTCTCCCAACCACATCAATTATAAGAAGACCAGGATCTTAAACTCAGCTTGATAGAGTGTAACTTGTTTTGAATCAATTCAGACCAACAGCAGCGAAGGTGGCTAGAGATTACAGCAAAATAATGAGAATAGAATACCTCTATACGAAACTGGAAGGTCGTGTTCCGCTGATCATGCAGCAGAATCTGCCTCCTCATTCCTTTGAGCATCAACACGCCCAGGTACCCAGCAGAAAACGATTTCTTTGTTTTAGCTAGAAATGTGACACAACCAAAGTTGTATATGAAGAACTATGGGATGAGGCGAATTAAATTTTTGTATAGCTTGCAAAGTACTAAAGGAGTCGGAGACTACCACAAACAATGAGGTAGGCTTGGGCATAATATGGATAATCGCTATGAGAATCACATACAGTTCAGCTGTAAAGATGCTAGCCAAGTCTAAAATATGACCTCATACAGCACTATCCGGGAACACTGCTGCAAACCTGATACCATCAGAGGATTCAGAATCATCAATGTAAACTGCAATGGCCCAAGAATGAGACCAGAAGTGATTAAGAAAAAGGGAGCGAGAAGCCATTGTAGGTATTTGAGATTTCGCGCACAGCAGTGGGGAAGAACAGACACGAACTGTTGGAACCTCCCAAGAGGAAAGAGAAAAGTTAGATGCTAGATGTACATATAAAGGGGTGGCAACTAAAGAGAAGTCAAGAGTGAAGATGAAGAGAAAACGGGCGGCAAATAAATAATGGACCTCCATTAATGTCCGTTACTATCCTGTATGTAGGATTGTGAGGGTGATGAAAGTGGACAAAATAATGGAAGCAATGGGCATCACAGCAATCTTTCAAGGATGGAACATTCGCCTCTGCATTTAGGCTCTTGACGGGAGGAGCGAAAAGCACCTAAACAAACGCAATCTCTGATGATGGATGGGATCAAGTTTAGAAAGAGTTGCAGGAAAGGCTGCAGAACACATCTGGTCACTATAGTCTAGTTTCGATAAAATTAGGGCCTGAATGCAGGAGTTCAACGATAACCCCCCCCCCCCCCACATACACACACACAAAAGATGAGTGAGGGTTTTAAGGAAGTTCAGCTGGCTACAGCAAGCTGCTTTCAGGGAGGTATTGTGAGGTTTCCAGGACAGCCGACGATCAAACAGAAGGCCAAGAAATCTGACCGTATCACTCTCAGGGATATGGGAGCCATACAGGTACAATGGAGGATCAAAGACAACAGAATGACTGGTAAAAGTATTTTGATGCATTTTAGCACCAGAAAATTTAAACCCATGCATAGTGGTCCAATGGGAAACATGGTTGACAGCATTCTGGAGAGAGGCTGCTACTAGGTGACAGTCAGTGCCTGCACAGGCTATAGCAGTCGTCGATATATAATGACCAGGGTCGCTAGACGGCCCTAAACCTTAGTGGTGCTTGCTTCCACAATTGCCTTTCCAAGTGGGTTTTGTCCCACTTAATCCGAGGAAATTTGGATGAACTTGTTTTAGACCTGGAATATATTTTGGATTGCTAAACTGAGTGTTGTGTAATACATTTAGCAACTTTTTTTAATACAGTAGTACCTGTATAAAAATAGGTTGTATAATATACCTTGTATAGTTTACCCATTCACTCTCTACAGGAAATTACACTAGCGACCCTTGATGTGGAAGGTTGAAGCTGGTGAAAGGCTCTTGATACAAGGAAATGGAGCTGCACTTCCCTTTCTTGAAAGGAACCTAATTACCTCCCACTGTCCAGGAGCTGTATGATCCATGCAGGCTTATTAGTGTTAGAAGTATCACATAATAGTAAATTCACAAAATGCAAAATGATAGTGAGGTGCACTCTATAACATAGAAGACAAAAATTTTAGGAAAATAACTAGTAATACATTGGCAAAAAAATTTATTATGTGAAGTAATATGTGTTTATCACCAGTATTAATACTCAGGATATGAAGGCATTTGGTGCAAGCCATGAGAGGGTGAGAAGGATTCAATGTTCCAACAGTTACTGTACTGATAACAAAAAATGTTTGATATATTACAAGTATATACAAGATATGCTACAATCAGTAGTCTTAATCCTTCAAGAACCAGCTTCAGGTCATAAATAATATAAAAATAGAGCAACATATTCACAATTTGCACAAGAATCTCAACATTATAAATTTTCACACAGAAGCAAGAATACAGAGAAAAAGACTGAATAATCTTCTGTTTTTCTGTTTCTTTGTGATAATTAATATAATACAGTATAGATTAACTCATCATTTGATTTCCAAATCATTTAACAATTCCTGCCATAAGCCAGTGTCCATTAGCAAGTTATTGTAATTAGGTAGATTAAGACAAAAAAATCTTCCTTTCTCAAGTGAGAATTGTGCACTATTTAGCATTTTACAAATAATAAATGAAAATCCAAACTGCACAAATTTGCAAATGATATACAGTATAACATAGCTTTATAAATATCAACTCACTACATGAAGCCAAGACTAACCAATGATTTATGACTTGTTAGTGGCAAGTTTTTACACAAGCTGTTCTAAAGTCCACAAAGCATGGTTCTGGGATCTTCAACAGACTGCTTGATCTTCCTCAAAAATGTTACTGCCTCCCTCCCATCAATGAGTCGATGATCGTAAGTCAGTGCGATGTACATCATGGGCTTAATCACCACCTAGTAAAACAATACCATATATCTTGTTAATTTCACAATAACATGAAAATATGTGATAGAAAAGTATTGTTAATAGACTTGACTCAGTATCACTGTGGCAAATTATTCAAGCCAAATAGGTGATGTGACTTGATGCAATACTACTAGGTCTAAGTCTGCGTTACAGTGGTTTTACTGTTATAATTTAACATTCATATTATCCAGAGGCAAATGTCTCACTCTTAGGATATGCAAATTAGTATATAAATATTCAAATCTTAAAATATTTGAAGTTATCAGTGAAGACCAAATAATACCTATACCACTTTCCCCTTAAACCTTGTCAGCTCCCAGAAAAAAGTTCATCAAAGATATACAAGACAGATTTTAATAATATTCTAGATCAGCATAAAAGTATCTACTTGGCTCTTTGTCCATTACAGGAAAATTAAACAAATTTGTAAGATTTACCTGTCATCTTCATTCATGAGACAGAATTTAAGAAAAGACCAGCAATCCAGCCTGAATGTAAAACATTTAGCAGCCTTGTGCTTCACACCCATATAACATGACAGTAATATTTTCCTTAGTGGTTGCTGTCAACCAACCTATTCCCTATAACCAATTAACTACTGTCCCTAAGTTGTGATTTAGTATATCAAATAGAAAAATGCAAAAATAATGAAAAGGCTGATATACTGTACTCAGCAGCACTGTATATTTAAACCTTTGAAAACTTTAAAACCTCACCTGTCCATTCTTTGCTACTGGCCGATCAAATATGCCATGCATACCCAAAATGGCAGACTGAGGTGGATTAATAATAGGAGTACCAAACAGAGAACCAAATACTCCTCCATTGCTTATAGTGAAGGTCCCACCATCCATGTCCTCTACAGCCAGAGATCCGGTGCGGGCTTTTTCACCCAATTCCATGATACCCTTCTCAATATCCAGGTAGTTCATTCCCTCTACATTGCGGAGAACTGGTACAACCAGGCCCTGGAAAAATAGGTAAGAAAATATTGTGAAAAATTTGCTTTAAATACTATCAATATTTAGGTCTTTATTCTTAATATAAATTTGAACTTTCTCAAAGGAAATTTAATTAAGATGTAGTGTATACTGGTAGGAGTTTGAACATATACTGCTCAAGGCTAGATGAGATAACATTCTTTATACTCAACTTTGGAATACAAGTGCATTACTGGACTATACATTAAAATACTTAAATAATTTTGAAATACAGTAGTAAAACTTTTTCTTTGCCATAATGCCACTGAATGTACTAAGTGTTACATATACCAGTATAAGCTGTTTGCCATCATGTCATCATGGACTAAAATCATTAAAAAAATGTTTCCTGCACCTTGTTGAATCTATGCCATGAAGAAATCAGGGCCCCACCCAGTACTAGAAGTGGCCACTGAGTTTAAATTTAAACAAAGCTTCTGAAATACTGCTAATGCATATACTATAGTACTAATAGAAAACTAAATAAAAAAATGTATCTAGTAGGAACACTTATTTTTTAACACGCTACACACTGGCCGTCTCCCACATAACTAGGGTAATCCAAAAGATAAGAAACGCTTTTATCATCACCCATTCTATTTCTGTCTTGCCAGAAGCATACTGTTACACTTTAGTTAACCCTCCAAACTGCAACATCCCCACCCCTCTTTCAGAGTGCAGTCTGGCTAACTGGTGTCCCCAAATTCCTTCACGTTACCTTGTTCACACTCCAACAACACACCAAATCATAAAAACCAGTAGGAACACATCTTTATGAAATGCATCTTGGTAACCAAAACAGAAATTTTCTTACATTAAAATTTTACAACAAGTAAGCCTATTTATAATAATGGAATGGGAGAACAAATTTAATGGGGGCACGTCACAAGCGGTGCTCCTCAGGGGTCAGTGTTGAGCCCGTTGTTGTTCACAATTTACATAAATGACGTAGACAAGGGAATAAATAGCGACATAAGCAAATTTGCTGATGACACCAAAATAGGCCGTCCAATTCATTCTAATGAGGACACTAGAGCACTCCAGGATGATTTGAATAGACTGATGCAATGGTCGGAGAAGTAGCAGATGCAGTTTAATATTGACAAATGCAAAGTTCTAAATGTTGGACAGGTAAATAACCATGCCACATATAAACTAAATAATGTAGATCTTAATACTACTGATTGCAAAAAGGATTTAGGAGTTCTGGTTAGCAGTAATCTAAAACCAAGACAACAGTGCATTAGTGTTTGCAATAAAGCTAACAGAATTCTTGGCTTCATATCTAGAAGTATAAATAATAGAAGTCCTCAGGTTGTTCTTCAACTCTATATATCCTTGGTTAGGCCTCATTTAGATTATGCTGCTCAGTTCTGGTCACCGTATTACAGAATGGATATAAATGCTATGGAAAACGTACAGAGGAGGATGACAAAGATGATCCCCTGTATCAGAAATCTTCCCTATGAGGATAAACTGAGGGCCCTGAATCTGCACTCTCTCGAAAGGCGTAGAATTAGGGATGATATGATCAAGTTGTATAAATGGAAAACAGGAATAAATAAAGGGGATGTAAATAGCGTGCTGAAAATTTCCAGCCAAGACAGGACTCGCAGCAATGGTTTCAAGTTGGAAAAATTCAGATTCAGAAAGGATATAGGAAAGCACTGGTTTGGTAATAGAGTTGTGGATGAGTGAAACAAACTCCCGAGTACAGTTATTCAGGCTAAAACGTTGTGTAGTTTTAAAAATAGGTTAGATAAATACATGAGTGGGTGTGGGTGGGTGTGAGTTGGACCTGACTAGCTTGTGCTGCTGGATCTGGTGCAGTGCTCCATCCTTGAGTGGAGATGATCAGACTGGATGGGTCATTGAGCTAATCCAGGGGGGGGGGGTTTCATTGGTCTAATCCAAGGGAGAAGGGGGCATGGACCTGCTTTCGCATGGGTCAGTAGGCATGTTGCAGTGTTCTTCTTTCTTATGTTCTTATTACAACATTTACCTTTGGTGTAGCCACAGCAACAGAAATGTCCACATAATCCCTGTAGACAATTTCACTACCATCTATGACTGCATTAACTGTAGGTTGATGGGTGAGAGCATATGCAGATGCCTTCACAAATGCAGACATAAAGCCCAACTTGATCCCATGTTTCTTTAAAAATTGGTCACCAACACTCTTCCGAAGCTCCATGATATTACTAGAATGGTAAAAAAAGTAACTTAGTATTCAACATAAATTTTATAGGATCTGAATGATGTGCCATTGATAACATTAAAGAAGAGACACATTGCAAAGCATTTTCCCCCCAAAAAAAGTTTACACTGCAATATATCTTTTCTTCAATAAATTTTATATTACAGTATTATTTTTTAATACACTGGCTGTCTCCCACCAAGGTAGGATGATTAAAAAAGAGAAAACACATTCATCATCATTCAATCAGTCACTGTCTTGCCAGAAGCATGCTGGCATCACAACTTTCACATGGCCCTCCAAACTACAACAACCTTACCCTGAGAGTGGAGGTACTGTACTTTCCACCTCTAGAACTCAAATCTGCCTAACTGGCTTCTTGAATCCCTTCATAAATGCTACACCTCACTCACACTACAGCATGTCATAAAAACCACTTGTCTTCACTCGCTCCCATCTAATGCACTCACAAAAGCCTTTAGGATGCCCAAGTCCCTAGAACTCAAAACAACCTTTACTGCCTTCCTCCCAGCCCTTCCCAGGATGATCCCTACCCCACCATTCTTCCACCCCAAATTTATGCACCCTCCTAGTCATCCTATTTTGCTCCACCCTCTTTTTTTTTTTTTTTAGATTTAGATGTAGATTTTTTTATTTTGACAAATTACATGGTTGTACAGAGGTATATGATAGCTGGGTGTACATGCCAAAAGCCTCTCTGTATGCTGAGCATTTTGGGGAAACTTAAAGATTAACTTAAGAATAATAAGGCAATAATACATAGTTCACATGGTCATTCGGTGAGTTAGAGCGAGTACAGGAGAATTTAATATTATACCAGGTGATGCTACATGGTTTTGATAAGTCTAGTCGAGACTTTTTACACTATTGAATTAGTTAATAAAGATTACAGTATTACAATGTAACAATTTAAAACAATTTACGGTTTGATGTTTACAGTTTAGTACTATTTAAAGCAACAAAATCTGGTATTACAATTGAACAGTTTACATTATGATGCACTGTATTACAATCTACTACAGTACTATTTAAAACAGTGAAAAGTACAGACATCCTAATTTCAAAGTAATAAATGGTTGAGCATTCATCAACACAACCTGATTACCCACTCCCAACAGCCCTTAGTCAGTAGAAAGGGGCTGGTGACCCCTTCTATATAAATTACTAAATGCAAAAAGAAAAACTATGTTTCTTCTTTTTTGGGTCACCCTGCCTTGGTGGGAGACAGCCATTGTGTTAAAAAAAATAATAAGCACTATACCTATATAAGATAACTATTTCCCAAAAGTAGGTTAACAGTGTACTGTTTTGTCATTATTTAATTTTTGTAACTATTTAAGCAATGCATTTTACCAACTTACCTCATATCCAACTCATTGAAGGTAGTTAACATTGCATTGGTGTCCTGTGCTTCTTTGAGTCGTTGAGCAATACGCTGTCTCATACGTGACATTTTCACTCGTTGTTCAGTACGAGTTCCACTAATTTCTTGGCTATAGTCTGCTGGTGGTACCTGAAAAAAATATGACATTATAATAAAGTATCACACGAATTTATAAACCAAATTAGTATTTTTATACCCAAGAAAAATGATCAGAGAAATTGATGAGAAATTTACAGTAAGTGAAACAACCTTTTTTTTTTTAATAGATTCCATGCTACAGAGAAGAGCTTTAAAGTAAAAAAAACAAAAACTATTATTCTCCTCTTATGGATTATAGCAACTTTCATGATAGTATCAAAAAAGGAACCAGAAACAGGTAACTATATGAAATGATACAGTAAATGCACGATAAGCTATACTTCAAGTAAACTATTATCTTTTTTTTTTTTTTTTTTTTTTAACAAGTTGGCCGTCTCCCACCAAGGCAGGGTGACCCAAAAAGAAAGAAAATCCCCAAAATACTTTCATCATCATTCAACTCTTTCACCTCACTCACACATAATCACTGTTTTTGCAAAGGTGCTCAGAACACAACAGCTTAGAAGCATATATGTATAAAGATACACAACATATCCCTCCAAACTTCCCATTTCCAGGACTCAAGTCCGGCTATATAAAAATACGTAAATGGTTTCCCTGAATCCCTTCACTAAATATTACCCTGCTTACACTCCAACAGATTGTCAGGTTCCAAATACCATTCGTCTCCATTCACTCCTATCGAACACGCTCACGCACGCCTGCTGGAAGTCCAAGCCCCTCGCCCACAAAACCTCCCTTACCCTTTCCTTCCAACCTTTTCGAGGATGACACCTACCCCGCCTTCCTTCCCCTACAGATTTAAATGCTCTCCATGTCATTCTACGTTGATCCATTCTCTCTAAATGACCAAACCACCTCAACAACCCCTCTTCAGCCCTCTGACTAATACTTTTATTAACTTCACACCTTGTCCTAATTTCCACACTCCGAAATTTCTGCATAATATTTACACCACACATTGCCCTTAGACAGGACATCTCCACTGCCTCCAACTGCCTCCTCGCTGCTGCATTCACAACCCAAGCTTCACACCCATATAAGAGTGTTGGTACTACTATACTTTCATACATTCCCTTCTTTGCCTCCATAGATAACGTTTTTTGTCTCCACATATACCTCAACGCACCACTCACCTTTTTTCCCTCATCAATTCTATGATTAACCTCATCCTTCATAAATCCATCCGCCAACACGTCAACTCCCAAGAATCTGAAAACATTCACTTCTTCCATAGTCCTCCTCCCCAATTTGATATCCAATTTTTCTTTATCTAAATCATTTGATACCCTCATCACCTTACTCTTTTCTATGTTCACTTTCATCTTTCTACCCTTACACACACTCCCAAACTCGTCCACTAACCTTTGCAATTTTTCTTTAGAATCTCCCATAAGCACAGTATCATCAGCAAAAAGCAACTGTTATTATCATAATTATTATCATCATAATAATTAATAATAATTAGTAGCAGTATCAGTGGTTGTAGTTATAGTTGTTGGTTATAGTAGTAGTAGTTATTGTGGTAGTAGTAGTAGTTATTGTGGTAGTAATTGTATTATTAGTAGTAACTGTAGTAATAGTAGTTTTTTTTTTTTTTTCAACAAGTCAGCCGTCTCCCACCGAGGCAGGGTGACCCAAAAAAGAAAGAAAATCCCCAAAAAGAAAATACTTTCATCATCATTCAACACTTTCACCACACTCACACATTATCACTGTTTTTGCAGAGGTGCTCAGAATACAACAGTTTAGAAGCATATACGTATAAAGATACACAACATATCCCTCCAAACTGCCAATATCCCAAAACCCCTCCTTTAAAGTGCAGGCATTGTACTTCCCATTTCCAGGACTCAAGTCCGACTATATGAAAATAACCGGTTTCCCCGAATCCCTTCACTAAATATTACCCTGCTCACACTCCAACAGATCGTCAGGTCCCAAGTATCATTCGTCTCCATTCACTCCTATCTAACACGCTCATGCACGCTTGCTGGAAGTCCAAGCCCCTCGCCCACAAAACCTCCTTTACCCCCTCTTTCCAACCCTTTCGAGGACGACCCCTACCCCTCCTTCCTTCCCCTATAGATTTATATGCTTTCCATGTCATTCTACTTTGATCCATTCTCTCTAAATGACCAAACCACCTCAACAACCCCTCTTCTGCCCTCTGACTAATGCTTTTATTAACTCCACACCTTTTCCTAATTTCCACACTCCGAATTTTTATTTTATTTTATTTTATTTTGTTTCTGTTTGTTTTTGTTGCTGTTTTAGCACCTTGAGCATCCAGAACTCTTGTATGAGTGAGTTAGACAGGAGTAAATGGAGACGAGTGGTTTATTAATGAACGAGCTGTTGGAGTAAGAGGAAAGTAACTTTTATGAAGATTCATGGAAACTGGAAAGCCAGGGCATTAATTCACTAACCTTAACCTCAGCCTGATGGATGAAAGACGAATGCTTGATTGCCGCTACAGGAATTGAAGCCAATGGTGCTCCCGGTGGTGGGGCAGCTGGTGGGGCAGTTTTTGGAATAGGACCAGCTGCAGCAGCAGCAGGTGGTGTTGGAGCCTTGGTTGCAGCTGCTGCCACAGCAGCTGTGGCAGCTGCTGCAGCAACAGCAGGGGCCTCAACAGGAGATTCCTTCTTGGTAGGAGCAGCCCCAGCAGCTCCTGCCTCTATTTTACAAATAGGTTGACCAGGAGTGACTGTTGATCCATCCTCAACCATGATCTCTCTAACAACACCAGCAACAGGGGAATTCACTGGCATTGATGTCTGAAACACCAGAAGTTTATAAACATCAATATACAGCCATAAACAAACATACTGTTAACCATCATTTATAGAAGGTGTCTCCTGTACCAAATAAGTTATTCAGTATGAAAGAAAAAAGCAGCAAGTGTGGAGAAATTCTCCAGTAAAGGGGGTATTACCAACAGATCTCATGATACATGGGTGATTCATGCAAACCCAAGTATCACTATGCATTTCAGATGATAGTGATATGCTGAGATATGTTCCTTTGGGGCAAATTGGTTTCTAACCCAATTATTAATCTACAGCCACGGTGGGTTCTGGAACGGCACCCCAAAGGGATGGCCAGGGAGAGGTTGCTGGACATCGTGCTGTTAACAGATAAGTACCAAACACAATGCTGCTTCATGCAGGAAAGTGTACTTATCTAACCAGTTTTCCACAGTAAGTGAAGACAGGGACAAATTAACATGTTATTGGAAGTACAGTGCCTGCACTCTGAAGGAGGGGTGTTAATGTTGCAGTTTAAAAACTGTAGTGTAAAGCACCCTTCTGGCAAGACAGTGATGGAGTGAATGATGGTGAAAGTTTTTCTTTTTCGGGCCACCCTGCCTTGGTGGGAATCGGCCAGTGTGATAATAAATAAATAATATTGGGAAAACAGCACTAACTGAAAGAAAAATATGAAATTAAAGAAAATATTGCCATCTATAAGGTGGTAATGCTAAATACACAGATAACTTCCCAAAATCATTGAACTATATTTTTATGATTTTTTTTTTCAACACGTCAGCCGTCTCCCACCGAGGCAGGATGACCCAAAAAAGAAACACTTTCACCACCATTCAAACAATCACTGTCTTTGCAAAGGAGCTCAGATATGACAGTTTAGATGCCACTTCAAACAGCCAATATCTCAAACCCCTCCTTTAAAGTACATCATTGTACTTCCCACCATAAATACAATAACATCAATTTTCTAACTCCAGCATTGTAATACCTCTTAAACAAGTTTAGCTCTACCCAAAATGAGTTGAATTTTCACAACTATTATTTACCGACATACACAACTGAATAATTTATTAGTATACAAGAACCTAAGCAAAAACAAGATTAACAGTAATTATGTTTTAGTTAGAACAAGACGTAAAGGTGATTTGCACCATCCAATATTGCAAACCATGAAACAAAAAAGTTAGAGAACTTACAATACTCCACGCATTTCTGACTTATAATTTCCTACCATGAGTGTTACCTTATTTGTCTGTAACCCTTTTGATTTCTTTATTTATAACTAGGGCTTTAGGAAGACCTGCCTAGCATGGGCCACTAAAACTATAGCAATGCTTATCTTTGTTTATTCTTTTTAGATTGCATTTTTAATGTAATTTTCTATAATATATTCAAGGATATAAGTTATCTCAAAATTTTTTAAAACAAATTCTTACTCAGAAAAAACTTAAACTACCCATTGAAGAAGTCAATACATCCTACAATTTAACAAGATAGATTTACAACCACCAAAATCAAATTCTAAATTTATTATTAGCATAGGTATTAACGTGGCATTTCTAATATTACAAAACACGTTGTAACTGAATGTCCTTCCTTATTAGAGAAAAGGATGTTCTACTGACATCATCAGATAAACAGATCTTATAAGCCCCTGAAGACCATTATGTTTTGATCCCTGTAGTAAGAACATAACAAAAAGTCACACTGGCCCCTAATACCCACCTTGTCAGTTTCAATTTCTGCCACAGGTTCATCCTCACTAACACTGTCCCCTACTTCTTTCATCCACCTGATGTCACCTTCTGTGATAGACTCTGCAAAAGGTGGCACTTCCACCAGCTTCATCTCACCAACTATGAAACAAATAATTAATGCTGTACTTGAAGCAGATAACTCAGTTTTATTTATTTTCAATTTTGTCACTACAATCTCAACATTAAAATTGTCATAGTCATTCTTATGAAACCTCACCCCAGAAGTTAAGTACGTATACAATTAAGTCTTCTGTACCGACTGTATTTACTTTTTCCATTTGTAAGATAATCATCATTTCATCCATGAAGGGATAATACAGTGCCTGAGGGAATGGAAATCGCTTAAGTTCAGTCCAAGGAAAGGCAGGGTAGAGCTAATTCCTTAGATCAACAGCCCCTCACCGGTAACTCTCTGGAGGGGTCCGTTTTTTAAGAAAATTACGGTACATCAAACTAATAATTTACTTACACATTGTAGGTGATGCATGGAAGCATCGAACCACTTCAGCCTGCTGCTTGTACTGATGATTGCATCTGGGAACACAGACTTTCTTAGAATTTAATGAAAATGAAGAGTTCATATGTTTCACAATCTTGCAAATTATTAACTATTTTTTTATTACAGCTGAAGGTGCTGTATGGAAGTTTTGTTAAAGAAACTAATCACAATGTCTAAAAGTAATGCCTTAATATGTAAAATTACAAATTCCACTGACAAAAGAAAGCCCTGAATAGAAAGAAAATACTCAAGCCCATAACAGGCTTTGCAGATTCTATACTCAAAGTCCTCCTTAGGAAGTCTTTTGGAGGAATTTTCTGACAACATTTCAGTTCATCCTGTACAATTACCTTCACAACAGTTGATTTAATAATGATCAACAATGCACTGTAACATTTAAGTTACCTCTCCACAATACTGTACATGTAAATTTTTCCAGCCACAGTACTATGGATTTTCTTCTTTAATATTCTTAAACAAAATTATGCACTAAAATAAAATAAATTCCAAACTTACAGAAAAGTATATGATGAGGAAGGGACCCGATGAAGCTTTCGAGAAGTGGACATGCCTATAAAGAGCATAGAAAATAGTAAATACAATGGTAAATACAATGAAATAAATATTATTTTTACTTAAGAACTGCACATCTGGAAGGTTACATGAGGCAACCTCAAAGTTCTGAGGAGTTATAGAAAATTAAAATGAAAGATATAGTAAAAATAAACTAAAATATAAAACACAGCAAATAGTGCATTTCTTAATTTTCTATGAAAATACTGTATTTCTCCTGGTAGTACTGTACTAATTCCTATTTTGAAAACCACTGTGAAAATCCTATTCAATGCTGTACTATGAAGGGATTAAAGTTTCACTTTAATCCCTTCATTATCAAAGCTCCAAAGTTAAAAGTGTTCACAGTGTCTGCATTTAAAAAAAAATTCTGAAATGACAGAGAATCTTTTTCTGAGGGTAATGACACCAAAAATATAAAGTGTGATGGAAAACTTATGGAATTACATAGACGCAAAGTTAGTGGTTTGTGACCAATTTACATGTCAACGATTTCACTAGTTTTGAGTTTATATTAAGCCTGCTCCACTGCCCAGTTCGAATAAATTCTTAACTATTTCATGAGTATTCCTTCTGTTCTATTGACTGAGCAGAAGAAACCACCCATTCCACTTCTGTTCTATTGACTGAGGGCAAGTAACCACCCATTCCACTATCAAAACTACCCTATAAAGTGCACAGAAGTTGGTAATTTGGCCAATTTATGCAAAATTCAAAAAATTCTAATATAAAAACATTTTCTCAGTTTATTAATCTCACCCCCTGGCCCCTCCTATATTACACTTGCCTTCTATTTTAAATTCATGACAAAAAAAAAAATTGAAGATTTACTCTATTTCCAGATAATAAAATATAACCAGGAATGATTAGTCATGGTTTACTGGATCACAATAACTGCAATAGTCCCAGCAAAAAAAACCATAAAACAGCCTTAACTATCCTCAGGAAAACTGGCAAAAATCTAACGTTTCCACTACTTTGAGGCCAATTTCAAATGACTCCAGTTCTGAAGCCAACCAAATTATCTCCATATCAATAGTGTGTCTTCCATTCTATCGAATTACCAAGGAATAGCCAATAAAACCATAAAAACCATCCTAGAAACACCTCAAAGTCACTATTTTAAACCAAATACGAGGTCAGAGTTTTGCTTTTCCCATCATGCACTGCATGAGGCAGAATTTTTTTATACTGTGTACACTAGCCACAAACCCATTGTCTCATACCTAGGCCAAAATTTACCATTCACAGTTTGTCATGACGTAGGTTTACGTGGTGAGCCCTGGCCTCAATAGCGTCATCTAAGTGACGGACAGTGAAAAGATTATCAGAAAGTACACTATCAGGCTACTTACATCTCGTAGTCAACCCCAAAACCTGAAAAGAACAGGAGTAATTATTCTGAGCATAATCATTACTTATAGTGTGAATATATACAAAAATATCATCAACTAAAATACATGAATCAGGGGATTTATCAATGACTTATGATCTAAAACTGAATCTCAACTAAATTTGAATGTGTAAAACAGTTGTAAATGCGAGGGTCTTGGCAAGAGGCGTGGAATTAAAAGATAAAGAATCACACATAAAGTGGGAGTTGTCACAGTTGCTCTTTGCTGATGACACTGTGCTCTTGGGAGATTCTGAAGAGAAGTTGCAGAGATTGGTGGATGAATTTGGTAGGGTGTGCAAAAGAAGAAAATTAAAAGTGAATACAGGAAAGAGTAAGGTTATGAGGATAACAAAAAGATTAGGTGATGAAAGATTGGATATCAGATTGGAGGGAGAGAGTATGGAGGTGAATGTATTCAGATATTTGGGAGTGGACGTGTCAGTGGATGGGTCTATGAAAGATGAGGTGAATCATAGAATTGATGAGGAGAAAAGGGTGAGTGGTGCACTTAGGAGTCTGTGGAGACAAAGAACTTTGTCCTTGGAGGCAAAGAGGGGAATGTATAAGAGTATAGTTTTACCAACGCTCTTATATGGGTGTGAAGCATGGGTGATGAATGTTGCAGCGAGGAGAAGGCTGGAGGCAGTGGAGATGTCATGTCTGAGGGCAATGTGTGGTGTGAATATAATGCAGAGAATTTGTAGTTTGGAAGTTAGGAGGAGGTGCGGGATTACCAAAACTGTTGTCCAGAGGGCTGAGGAAGGGTTGTTGAGGTGGTTCGGACATGTAGAGAGAATGGAGCGAAACAGAGTGACTTCAAGAGTGTATCAGTCTGTAGTGGAAGGAAGGCGGGGTAGGGGTCGGCCTAGGAAAGGTTGGAGGGAGGGGGTAAAGGAGGTTTTGTGTGCGAGGGGCTTGGACTTCCAGCAGGCATGTGTGAGCGTGTTTGATAGGAGTGAATGGAGACAAATGGTTTTTAATACTTGACGTGCTGTTGGAGTGTGAGCAAAGTAACATTTATGAAGGGGTTCAGGGAAACTGGCAGGCCGGACTTGAGTCCTGGAGATGGGAAGTACAGTGCCTGCACTCTGAAGGAGGGGTGTTAATGTTGCAGTTTTAAAAACTGTAGTGTAAAGCACCCTTCTGGCAAGACAGTGATGGAGTGAATGATGGTGAAAGTTTTTCTTTTTCGGGTCACCCTGTCTTGGTGGGAATCGGCCAGTGTGATAATAATAATAAAAAAAAAAATAAAAAAAAAAAAAAAAAAAGAGTTGTATTTTGTGTTATTGAGATGTGATGTGTTATGATGTAATCTATGGAGTTATGTTTTTTTTTTTTTTCACAGTTGAATTTACAGGCTATAAAAACTGTTATCCTACCTCAGCTCGTTTCAAAGGCCAGCCTATTTAAGGTATACTACCACCCTCCAGGATGTGATACGACTTCAGTAAGAAAAAAGATGATGGCATAATTTATAAGAAGTAAAAATCTAATAGTAATTTATGAAATTAAAGTAAAATGTGTTTTACTGGAAAAACAAAATGAATATAAAAAATTTTGGCTTTGTTTGAATGCAAGAAGGAAGCTACAATTATTTAACTTATCTGGCAAGGTATTCCATATATTTTACCTTTGTATTACTCTTCACGTAGTTAAGGTACTTACCTGTTTTTAATTTTAAATATAATATTTATCACAAGGACCCCAATGGGAATAAGTCACTTTGTCTGACTTTTCTGGGTTATCCTAGGTAATCTACATATACAATGCTATGTATGATAATCTATGTAACTGTATTTGTGTATACCTGTGCTTTTAATAAACTTACAGGTGCCATGCCTATGCATTCTGTTTGATATTTTGATGGTGTCATAGGAGTGAATAGTACATATAAGAATCCCAGGAGACATTATTATTATTATCATCAAGGGGGAAACGCTAAACCCGTAGGACTATACAGCACCTGCGGGAGATGTGAAAGGTATTTAGGCTTAATTCAGGGAACTGGAGCACCGATCCAATTCCTAGATCAAGAGCCCCTCACTAGCATCAAGGAACCTTCCTTGAGGGGTTCCCAGGAGACAAAAAGCGAGGAAAAATGGTCTTCTGTATATTTTGACCACCAGCTGAGGTTTATGTCTCTTGGGATTACCTTTCTCATCAATCAGTGTTCATTAAATAATACCTTGTTGGACCAGTGTTATGTATAAGTAAGTTCATTTAGGTACAGGAGCACATATAGTTATCATATATAGTAACATGTGATTACCTAAAACAACCCCAAAAACTCTGACTTATTTCCATTGGGATCTTTGTGATATTTCCAAATATTAAAGCAATCAGTTTCATCCCTTTCTATAGCTTCATTCATTAGGTATCCTTTAGCTCTCTTCCTGAACTGGTTCATACCGTCTCCATTGCACAATACACTTAATATTGGACAATTTACATAACAGGTTATGGCTAAGCTCAGCACTAAGCCAGCACTGGCCAGTAAGCCACTCATATATTCCTAGACTTGATGCATTCTTCATTTTTTTAAATACATTATTAGTGAAATACACAAGCATATTTTTTTTTATATTTTATTTAAAACAATGAGATACACAATGATAAATGTATACAAGCATATTAGAAGGTTAAGATCGAGACCTTTTAAGTGGTTTAGGACCTCAATGTCAATATCAAGGATTGCAATGTAATATCAAGGATTGCAATGGAAATATCAAGGATTGCAATGGAAATATCAAGGATTGCAATGGAAATATCAAGGATTCCAATGGAAATATCAAGTCAATGGAAATATCAAGGATTCCAATGGAAATATCAAGGATTCAATGGAAATATCAAGGATTCCAATGGAAATATCAAGGGCCTCCATTGAGACATCAATGACCTACACTGGAAATATCAAGGACTCCAATGGAAACAAGTCATTAACTTTTTTAGTGTTATCCTAGATAATTTAAACACGTTAAAATGTATATGATAATTGTAATTGTGTGTACCTGTACCTAAATAAACTTAATTAAGTTCACGTGGGTCATTAAGGCTAACACCTGTACACTAACATCAAGATACCATAAACCTTTAAAGAGGGATGAAAGTGAACCTCATATATGAGAATACAAAACTCCTGGAGTATATTCATCGAGGTAGAAAAATAAATCAAGATATTAGAGCCTAATATTATGGTAGTAACAGCTGATCGCCGTGACGTCACGGGAATGCCGCAGTCATTATATTACTCCTCCAGCTGACAGATGTTGGTTATAATGACTCCCTGACACCCACACAACACTACACATGTAACCCTGACCTGCACCTCCGTCTGCGACGGCAACCGAGCCCAATATTTGCTGATATTCCTGACTGCTATCATGGCCGTCCTCTGCTCTGCCGGGGCCGTCAGGATCACTCTCCTTGTCACTCTTCCTCACATTAATCACCTCTTTTATTATTATTTTCTTAATTTTAGTACTTTATGTGCCTTATACCCTTCATATGAAGACCTCTCGTGTGATAATTTTGAAAAGTTATAATACGAAAAGTGTATAGGGAAGATTTGTAAAAAAAAATAGGGTGAAATATTCTAAGATGTCACTATTATTACATGTAGGGGGAGCGGAAAACTCGTAGGGGTTATATAGCGCATGAAATGGGAGGTACTTAGGTTCGATCCAAGGAAAAGGAACAAAAGTTTAATTCCTTGGATCAAGAACCCTTCGAGGGATGTAGAGTGATCCCTAGTATAGGATAAAATAATTACAGCCCTAATTATTTTTATTTTTTGGCAATAATTTATTGTTATATTTTTATACATCACTTTTTTAATTTTCTCTTTAATATTGAATCTTACACTTTATATAGTTTATTCTTAAAAACAAGAAAATAAGTCACTATGACTTTTTTGGATTATCGTAGATAATTTACACTATGTATGATAATTATACTTATGTGTACCTGTGTCTAAATAAACTTATTAACAGTCTACCCCATAATTGCACTTACATCCTGGATAACATTACCCTAAATCCTAGGATCTCGGTAATTGACCAAAACCACAGATACTGTCCCAATTAAACGCAATGAACCTTAAATCCAGCTTACTGAAATAGCCAATATGTTAAATGATTTCTACTATAGCATCAAGTCTAGCTGGAAAAATCCCAAGTTCCAATGCCCATTGGAAATAAGTCACTTTGACTTTTTTGGGGGGAGGTTCTCCTAGGTAATTTACACTATGTGTAATAATTGTATTTATGTGTACCTGTGCTTATATAAAATTACTTTCTTAAGGGAGTGACTACATTAACGGAAGTTTTCCAGACTCACTCTGGCTCCAACTGAGATCTATGATAATGAATTCACTGAAAAACGAGGCAGGAAACTTATCATGTGATATCATATGATTTCTCATGTGATATCACCCACCATTCCAAGATTATTCAACAAGTCATTAGAAAACAAGATGGATAATCAGAACCTTCAAAACTAGAGATGCCAAGCCCATGATGAGCCTCTTCAAACTGCTTGTTCTAGGCTGGAATGTTTCTGCACAATAATGGCCCCTTTCAAGGCAGGCGAAATTGCACAACTTGAGAATACTATATATACTGAACAATCATTTCTAATCTTAATCCTGCCCTGATTTTTTTTCCTTGATAGCTGCAAAAGAACGCATAGTCATAACACAAGACACAAAAATCTCATGATATTCCCTACGTCCAGATGCCGGAGGCTCACTATCTAACAGCCACTTCATAGCTACTTAACTTAATGTGATACTGACAGCAATTTACTGTGTCAAATCTTGAAACCCTGGTTTTCATCCATTTCTGTCCTCTTTGTTCTTCCAACTTTCCTTCAACTCCCGCAGCTGGGTTGGTAGTCACTCAGCTCACACACTCAGGTCCATGGTTTGATCCCCGGTAAAGATGGAAGCATTGAGGTGTGTTTCTTTAAGACACCTGATGATACTGTTCACCTAGCAGTAAGTAGGTACCTGGTGTTAGTTGACTGGTGTGGGTGGCATCCTGGGGACAAAATTAACCTAAGTTGTGGGAAATGCTCTACATAACCAGGGACTTTCTATATAGAATGGCATTGATGTCAACTATTGTATGTATAAGTTGTATTATGCACTGATAGAAATAAAGATTATTATTATTATTATTATTATTATTATTATTATTATTATTATTATTATTATTATTATTATTATTATTATTATTATTATTATTTTATAGGCCTATCCTATCTCACTGCAATTTATTTCGAATTAACCGAATAAAATTTAATAGAGTATAGGCTAAGCATTCTTATGTTCCTACCAATGTTTTATTACATGTAAACTATATTATTTATACCTGGAAAATAAAGAAAATAAAAATTGTATAGCGTAGTAGATAAACTTTAATAAAATATCATTATTAACCAGTGTAATAGATAGACAAATTAATTCCATTATTAACCAGTATTGTAGATAGACTAATTAATACCATTATTAACCAGTGCTTATAAAACACCACTATTAACCAGCGTAATAAATATTAACCAGACAAGTAGCCCTGGTTATATCTTAATTAAACTCCTACTACAACACTCACACTCAAATTATTATTTATTACAACATTTCAACATTAAAAATATTTAACCAGCTACAAGATAAGAATAAAAACAACTTAAATATATAAAAAGTGAGACAAAGAACCATCAAAATAATGTTGATAAGTTAGGCGCCAAATCCACCATCACAACAAACTTCACAGTAAATACGTCTTTTATACCAAGTAAGACGTTTTTTCTACCTTGTTTTACTTGAAAATACATTAGAATGATTATTTTGGAGTGTTAATAAAGATGTTTGGTGGTTTTATTAAGGTTAAATGAGTTTATTTAAGGTGGTGAGGCTGGACTCGGGTCTCAACACCTGTCAAGGTAATTTAAATTTTGGGCTCAGTAATTCTATTTATGCATTAATTAGTAAGTAAGTTTATTTAAGTACAAGTACGGACAAGTACAATTATCCTTACTAAAGTTTAATTTACGTAGGATAAACCAAAAGAGATTAAAGTAACTATTTTCTTTTTTTTTTGGGGTCTTTATTTACGTCTTAATTTATAACTTTGAACTTTTACAATAGTTTTATGTGGTAAATTTTGTAGTGTAACCTGGGATAGTCCCATATAGTTAATATAACCTATTTTCATGGGGTAATTATCTTACTTTTTAATGGGGTGCCTTATGTTGGTGGAGGGCTTTTGATATGAGGAATTGGAGCTTCCCTTGGTTAAATTTATATATGTATAGATTTTAATGTGTGCACCAATGTTGCAGCAGAGAACAGCTGTTGATCAGGCTTGATCCACCAGGAGGCCTGGTCACAGACCGGCCCGGGGCGTTGACCCCCGGAACTCTCCAGTATTATATATATATATATATAATTTATATTATATTATATAATATATATATTAATATATATATATAATTTATATATAATATATAATATAAATATATATATATATTATATATATATTATATATATATATATATATATATATATATATATATATATATATATATATATATATATATATATATATATATATATATAATTTATTTATTTATATATTTTTTAATTTTTTTTTATTGAGACAATCAGTGCATAACAATAAAAAATACAAAATTTAATTTTTAAAGCAAAACATACATTAAGTACCTTTTAGGTCTCTTTCTACACTGGTTTATATTAAATCGGGCCTTGACGTGATCGGGCAGCCAGTTCTGCTTCTTTATTGTGGTGTAATAAAAGGTATTTTAGGCCTGGCCACCTGTTGTAGGTATTACAAAAATTGTGTAAGTTTATTTAGGTACAGGAACACATACGTACAATTATTGTACTTATAAGTACAGTTATTGTACTTTGTGTTCCTTGTACTTGTGCAAGAATTACGAACAAGCAACACAGAATACAGAACAACCATGGGGAGTTGAATAATAGCTCTAGGCCTTTCGTGTTGCAATCATCACATAAGGAGCATGCAGTGTTGCAGAAATGAGTAAGAAAATCTATGTAGATTTGTCTTAAGGGACCCTGTGTTTAGATAGTCCCTCAGAACAAATCTATTGAGATTTTCTTACTAATTTCTGCAACTTTGTCAGCTCCTGATGATGTGTTGATTGCAACACAAGAGGCCTAGAGCTATTATTCAACTCCCTGTGATTTTTTTTTTTTTTATTCGCCGGTATTCTCCCGGCCCGGGTCTTTTCCAAGTAGTGGTGACCCGGCCTTGGCTCCCTATCTGGGGAGTGTCTCGAGACTTAAGTCTCCCATAAGTCTCTCTCATGGGAGGAGGTACAAGTACCCCATCATCTTTGGGACCAACTCCCTGTGAGTGTTTTGTGAATTGTTCGTGTGTTTACCTATACCTAAATAAACTTACTTATTTTACTTAGGATAACTCAGAAAAGTCAGACAGAGTGACTTATTGCCACAGTGTAACTTCAGCTGCCTTAGTCTGTCTTCATTATTATAATAATCATGGGGAAGTGCTAAACCCATAGGATTATATAGCACATGTGGGGGAGGGGAGGGGATGGAAGGCATTCAGGCTCAGTTCAGGGAACTGGAACACAGATCCAATTCCTTGAATCCAGAGCCCCTCACCAACATCAAGGAACCTCCCTTGAGGGGAGTCTGTCTTCAATATTAACTATTTCCATTTGTAATTTATCTTGGCCTATTTGTTCTCTTGAACCCAGATCCAAGATGAGTCATAATTTGAAAACAGTAGAACTATAAACAGAAAATGAGGTAATCAGTCCCTCAGCCTTGGAGTTGGTGCAAAGAGCACCGTAGTCGTGGAGGTTCTGTCTTTCAGGTCTTTTTGTCCGAGCAGAGCCCTATGTCTAGGACCCTCAATGGAAATAAGTCATTTTGACTTTTTTTGGAGGTTATTCTGGTGGGTAATTTACACAAGTTACTATGTATGATAATTGTACTTGTGTGGACCTGTACCTAAATAAACTTACACAATTTTTGTAGTAGCAGTAGTAGGTCCATGTCTAAAAGTGAGACATAAGGTCCTGTAAGCCTCAGTAGATAAGCACTGTGACTGTCTGTAGAGGGACTTTAACTGGCATTTTTTTTATAAGGCCCCATGTATAGACCAGCTAGTCACTTTATTATACAATCACTTGTAGGTCACCATTATAGGGAATTCAAATATGGATGTGTTGCTTCTACCCATGATGAATGCATATTTTGTGATTGTATAATAGAGTGACTATTTGGTCTATGTATGGAGACTTGACTCGCCCTGTACATCTTTCACTATCAATTCTCCTGACATGCATGGATCAGAAGGTATTCCCAGATTTTTCAGTGAAGATACTGCTGTTGTGAGTTCTCCATTAAACATTTCATTAAAAAGTGTTTGCCCATTTCATATACTTGTTGTGCCAAAAATTATGGCCTGTTTGTCCTAAGTGTAGCAATAGTTTATTATCTACTAACCATTTCCTGCAGGTCTCTAGTTCCAGTGACAGTATATCAGCTACAGTATATCCTGTTTTACTTGAGACTAAGAGAGCACTCTCAGCTTACTTACTTTTATGAATAGAGGCACATACAAAATAGGTGGAAATTCTGATAACGTTACAATATAATTTGTGATGTTGGAAGTAATGTTTGTTTAGCATTTTATTATCTAAAGGTTCAGCATCAAAAAGTACTTACAGTATTATTATTATTTGGTGTACTCCTAGATTTTTTGCTTACCATTTCATCTATTCCAATTATCCCTGCTATTGGAATGGTTTCTATTTTGATTTGGACTATCAAATATATATATAGGGTAAGAAAGAAATCTAAGCAATATTAAATGCTAGGATTTATGGTGATGATAGAGAAGTTTATGTACTTTTGATTTTCAAATTGCATTCATGGAAAGGCATTGAGAAATTATAATCTGTTATAATCAGATTTTTTAAGGCTTTCATAAGAGAAACTGAAACTTAACATAACATTTGTGTTTCAGTTTTTGAGAACTACACAGAATCATGCAGTGACAACAGCTTTTCACTTGTCTGTCATGTCTGGTGCTGTGGACATTCAGGTTAGTTGTGAGGAACTACCTTATTTTGCTACCATAAATATAAGGATATGTTCTCAACAGCTTATCCACAGTAACCTAGCAATCATTTAGTAAATCTAGACATAATGTATGTGTGTAAAATGTATATACTACAGTACAGTAAATGTAAACAAACCATACCATGGGCGGGGATAGAACCTGCGATCAGAGAGTCATGTAAACATTTTTAAAACATTTTTTATTGCTGGTTTATGTGTACATATTTTGTAAACATTAGAATGATAACAATGTTTGTGAGGTTATTGCGTAGCATACAATGAGTGAATTTAAATACAATATGTCTTATATTGGTCTCACAGGTCATAAAAGTTACTTGAAAAAATAAAATATTAAAAAAGAAAAGACAAAAGCACATTAACCCTTTCAGGGTTAAGACACTCAATCGTTAACTCCCATTTACAGTCGAAAAATATAAAAAAAAAAAAATTCTTATGAAATGATAGAGCATATTTTTGTGAGTGTTACAGGCCAAAAAAAACTTTTTTTGTCATCATTACTTACCGAGATATGGAGGCGTGAAGTTGACACAAAGTGAGACACTTATGGCAACATTGCCAGCGTGAAGTTGATACAAAGTGGGCCACTTACGGCAACATCGCCAACTGCCGGTCATGCGGTAATAGTAATTTTCTATCTACTTTTTTCTTTTATTTTATAACATCATATTCTTCAAGCAACCCTCATGGCCTGTGAGACCAACACAAGCCATATTGTTGTATTTATTTATTTATTTATTTAGTAATTTTAGCATACATACAGAGGTACAAAAAAAATACAGGTAAGAGCAGCATGCCAAAGCCACTTATATGCATAGCATTACGGGCTGGCTTAAAATTAACTTAAGATTAACTAAGCAATGATGAAATCAGTGATAAAACATTATTGTAAACAGATAACTATAAAGCACAAATGAGTATTACAAAGACAGGTCATATGGTTGCATGCATTGCTGTACATGAATGGGTCCTAGTACATTCAGTCGAATGGAGTATTCTGTTAGGTAGTGTATTTAAAAAAATAACAAAGTTAGATTGGGTCCTAGGTTTAACATTTGTGTGATATAATTGTGAGTAACATTTAGGATATACAATTTATAAGGTTCAGTTATTCAGTATTTATTTGGTTTTGAGTAAGTGATCTTTGAGAAGAGACTTGAATTTATAAACAGGTAGTGTTTCTTTTATATTTACAGGTAATGAATTCCAGATTTTAGGGTCTTTTATGTGCATTGAGTTTTTGCATAGCGTGAGATGGACACGAGGACATCAAAGAGTGATCTGTGCCTTGTGTTATGGTCATGTGTTCTGTTGAGGTTGGCAAGGAGATGTTTGAGGGGAGGGTTAATATCAGAGTTAAGTGTTCTATGTATGTAATAGGTGCAATAATAAGTATGGATGTTTTGTATGGTGAGTAGGTTGAGTGTTTGAATATTGGTGGAGTGTGCTGCCTGTAGTGAGAATTTGTTATCATTCTAACTGCAGCCTTTTGTTGGGTAATTAGTGGTCTGAGATGGTTAATTGTTGTTGAGCCCCATGCACAAATTCCATAGGTGAGATAGGGGTAAATAAGAGAGTGATAAAGGGCCAGAGGGCTGACTGTGGAACATAGTACCGTATCTTCGATAGTATGCCTACAGTCTTGGAAATTTTCTTAGAAATTTGTTGTATATGTGTATGAAATTTGAGTCTATTATCAAGGTGGATTCCTAAGAATTTTCCCTCTGTTAGCTTTGTGATAGGTGATCTGTTTATCGTTATGTTAAGAGGTACATCTGTAGCTCGGTTACCAAACTGAATGAAGTAGGTTTTGTCAATGTTTAGTGTAAGTTTGTTAGTCCTCATCCAGGTAGATATTTTATGTAATTCGGTGTTTACAGTATTGGCTAGCGTGACTGGGCTCGGGTGAGAGAAGACGTATGTAGTGTCATCTGCAAAAAGTGTGGGTTTGAGTAATTGCGAAGCATTTGGTAGGTCATTTATGTATAGGAGAAAGAGAAGAGGGCCAAGGACAGTAAATGTACTGTTCATAAATCAGAAAAGGAGTACTTGAGATGGTTTATTCATGTAAACAGAATTAAGCAAGATAGGTTAATAAAGAGGGTGAATGAAAGGTCTGACAGAGGAATGGAAGGAAGCTGTAATTATACAGTTGACCCTTGAACAATGCAAAGATTCCCCACACAGTTGAAAATCCACATATAATTTTGACTCCCCAAAAATTTAATTACTAACAGCCTATTGTTGACCAGAATCCTTACTGATAACATAAACAGTCGATTAACACATATTTTGTATGTTTTATATATTATATGCGTACTGTATTCTTGCAGTAAAGTATGCTAGAGAAAAGAAAACGTTGTTAAGAAATCATAAGAAAGAGAAAATACATTTACAGTAGTGTACTGTATTTATCGATACTGTAAGTTTACTTTGTCTGTTTACAAGTTAAATTGTCTGTCAGTACCTACATCAGTTTTGTCTTATATGATACAAAACACTAGATGTTATATGTATTACTAACTCTCAACATCGAAAATAAAAAGATAATATGAAATTCATTTTTGTTTATGATTTAGTATTGCATCTTTACAACTTGTTTACATTTCTCTCAACTGCGGATGGTACATGTACGATCTGTAATAATAATATTTATTCTTTCACCACTGTTTGTAAAAAAAAAAAATATCCCAGTATCCCTTAATCTTCATTTTTTATTTAATTTACATTGATTAGTTAGCCCAAAATGCATTGCACACTAGTCACTTTCTTTGTGCGTACCAATGTCCTTTTGCGCTTCATATAGAGGGGCTTTAGGCTTGTACACCAAACTATTTATTTCTTTGTACAAACATGTATCATGTCAAAATAAAGTACATATATTATTAATATTACTATTATTATTATTAAACTTCATTATTTGTGTACTACATAAAAAGATAAAAAATTGAATTTGAATTAGAATCTGGGGCCTCTTGTTATACCTATTGAATTCATTATTTTCAAAATTCATTATTTCATGTCTTTTTAAACCTTATTTGTTGTTATCACAGATTCTCTTCCTCCTATTAGTCGGCACGGGTGTCTCTCTGGTGTTTTTAGCTTTTCATCATTACTCGTAATTTTACCTCTGGGATTCATTTTGTAGCTTTTCTTTGGACCGTTTCTATCTGATCCACATACTTCTTCAGGTATGGACACCACACAGCAGCAGCTTGCTTAAATTTTGGCTTAATATGTGTTATAAAAAGCTTTTTCAGTATTTGCAGTTCATAGATTTGAAAACTATTTTTTAATTAGCCAGTGTAACAGGTGTGCTTCATATAATTTCATATTTTACATGATCTGGTAATAATTTTTATTACTAATTTATTAACTCTGGATCCCATGCTCCATATGTTACTCTTCACAGTTTTTTCACTATTAGAGTGCATTATCACTCTTTCCAAGATAGTTTAAATAGTTTTTATTGAAACTGTATTCCTCTGTTTTAGTAAGTACAAAGTCAAGCAGTGACATGTTGCTTTCTCTCAGTACTATGATGTGTCATTTCATTTATATGCTCATGCATGAAATCCTGTCATTCAAGTAAGGAATTCTGTAGATTATTTATAGTTAGAGCCTCATATGTTGCCCTATTTATTTATTTATTTATACAGTATTTAAGATCTCCAGTTATAATTACTTCCTTAATATCATAGAAACTATTCAGCTCTACTATAGTTCCTTTTATTCGGTATTATGTAGAGTAATTCGATATTGGCCTTGTCAGATTCTCTTCTCTCATTTAACCCTTTCAGGGTCCAAGGCCAAAATCTGAAGTCACGCACCAGTGTCCAAGAAATTTTGAAAAAAAAAAAAATTATTTTTTCTTACAGAATTAAAGAGCATATTTTTGTGAAGGTAATAAAACAAAAAAAATTAGAATCTGATCATTACTTACCGAGATACAGTGCCAAGAAGTTTATAGAAAATGATGTGGTGGCGGCAACATCGACGAATTCCACATACGCGTATTATATTATTTTGTTTAGTTGTTTTTTCTTTTCTTTTCCAATTTTTTTCTATTCCTACTAACATTTGGGGCCTGAGAGACCAATACTGTATATAATTGATATATATATATACTCACTGTATTGAACACAATAACCGCATCTAAAGTTATTATCATATTATTGTTTACTCACTGTTGTTTATTACAATAAACATGCACAAATATTGTATAATACTAATGTTCTATCATATATTTACATATTTCAATCACTGGACATGTTTTAGAACTGCTGGAGCTTGTGGAACTCCTTGAAACAAGGCCCATGCACAGAGGCACCTTACATTCCTCACACATAAACCGAGTGTCCTTTGCGTCTTTGTTGCCGTCGTTTTGTTTGTGCACAGACAATGCATCTCTTCTGAGCAAATTTCTTTTGAGTTTGAAGGAAGCTGTATTATGAAATGATCACCTTCTCTCCTCAAACGCTTGGGTATATTGTGATGAATTCGAGGACCATGTTGTATTGCAGGTGTTGTTACCTGGTACTTCATTATGAGTTGTCTGACAACAGACAAACAAAATTCACCATACGGTGGTCTGTTACCAGTCTTTATTTGGTACATATTATATGCATTCAGCATTGAAATGTCCAGAGATGGAAGAAAAGTTTCATGTACCACTTGTAACTCTTACAAACACAGTCAACAAAACCAATCTGCATGTCACACTTGTCAACCAAGCGCATGTTTTGTGTATAATCAATCACTGACACTGGTTTTCGAATACGTTCATTAGTCACTCGATCACTTTGCCACTGTCTTGCATTTCATTACGGTGAATGGTTGTCAACAATGTGACATCTCGTTTGTCATGCCACCGTAATGCCATGATGTCATTGGCAGTAAACACCTGCACGTCATCACCACGAACACCTGCGTTGAGCCTGGGCATATGTTTACGATTAGAACGCACTGTGCCACACACATCTGTCTTGTTCACTCGCATGAAATCACTGAGTAATGGGCTTGTGTACCAGTTATCGGTATATAATGTATGGCCCTTACCAAGATAAGGTGCCATCATGTTTCTCACTACGTCACCTGAGATACCCAATAACATCTTGGTATCTTTCAATGTTTTACTACCCGTTTATACAACAATATCCAACACCAGGCCATTGTCACAATCACAGAGTACAAACAATTTTATACCAAAGCGATTCCTCTTGCTCGGTATATACTGCTTGAATGACAGTCTACCTTTGAACAAAATCAAAGACTCATCAATTACAAGATTCTTGAATGGATAAAAGTATATCCTGAACTTTTGTTTGAGATACATGAAAACATTTCTAATCTTGTATAACCTGTCACTTCTGTCAGGCCTGGTTTTGTCAGAGAAGTGCAACATACGTAACAGTAAGATAAACCTATTCACTGGTATTATTTCACTGAAGGATGGGGTACAAATTAGCCGATCTGTGGACCAGTATGCTTTTATATTATGCTTATAGACGTGAGGCATAAGCATTATTGTTGCAAAAAGCAAATACATTTCTGCAACAGTCGTCTCTTTCCACCTGTGTAGTCTTGACTGTGGTGATAAGATCGTATTTGCCATGGTGTACTGAAAATACTTATTACTTTCCCTGACAATAATTTCCATCAATGGCTGGTCAAAGAATAATTCAAAGAATTCCAGTTCATTGGCCGTGGTTCCAAGGGGACAGGTAGGTAGAATTCCACTTTGAGAGTCATCAAAGTGGTGAGGGCTGGGAACAAATTGGGATTTTGCTGCCAATCCCAGATACGGTTTGCTGGTGGATACTGGACATCATAGGCTGGTTGTTACGGGTGGTTGTGGCGGCTGGTGGGTTGACGCTCCGCTTTGTCCTTGAACTGACGAGTCAGCAGCGTGGGTCCCCGCGTGGCACAGTGAGTCCACGCATGGCGGTGCCACTACCACCACCAGCACCACTAACACCATCCACTGATGCCTGTGGCCCATCCATGCCAAGTGTAGCCACATCATCCTCACTATCACTACCTAAAACGGGTGTAGGGCCACGGGATGTACTCCGGGATGTACTCCGTCCCCTGGGCACAGCATAGGGTACACTACCGAGCGCATGCGGCGGCGAACATTACCGACCTTCACTGGTGAATATGTTTCCTCACTATCACTACTCGAATGATCGTCGAGCGCAATAAAATCACAATCCACGTCAGAATCATCGTCATTACTGAAGTCAGAGGCCAGGCCACGGGAAAATATTAGTTTTCTCTTACGTTTAGGAACACCGACCGTGAGTCACGAGTGCCCACACCAGAGGTAAAAGGCTCGAGGATCGTCGGGTTTTCTGCACTATTATCGATATCCTGGTCATTATTTTCGGTCACTAACTTATCAAAGCCGTAGAATTCGTCTTCATTTCCACTTCCATCAGTGTCAGAACTATCAGATAGGAAGAGGAGAGTCCCAATTTTCCGGGGAGTGAGAGCTGACTTGCGACGAGGCATGGTGAACAAGGGTGACTGAGCCGGCGTTCCCACAATGCTATGCAGGCGCCTAGATTTTTTGTTTACGGCGCACACCCACGGCGCAGACCCATTCTCTCACATGTAGGCCTATGAGCGCTTTCGCGCTAAATTTGACGGCACTAGAATTTTGGCGTAGATCTACGGTTTGGACACTCACCGAAAAGCCGTAGATCTACGGGACGGACCCTGAAAGGGTTAAGTCTTATTAAAGAGTGTGTAAGTGATATATATACATGTACATGAATGCTTTAGATTGGAATAAATAGAGGATAATGATCCATGAATTTTTTTTTTTTGCAGAGTTCATCTTTACAGACTAAGAGATTATCCTAACTAAGATTCTTTCAAAGTCTTACTCTAGCTACATATACTACCCTAGGAAGTTCCCAAAACAGTTGGCAACACCCAGTACTGAACCTATTTTTGCTAGTGAGCAGGGCCTAATGAAGAAAACAGAGTACAAGCCCCCCTTTTTTTTTTTTTTCCTGAAAAACCCACGGGGTTTTTGCATTTCACTAAGATGATAATAGAAATAGCAATAATGTGAAATTTTTCTTTTCTTTAGGTAACCTTGACTTAAATCCCTACAAGGGAAAGTATCTAAAGGTCACCTAGAGGGGTTTCAAAATTGTTTACAATATTTCCCCTAATGGGAAAGACAGTAAAGTAGTTTTAACAATATCGTTTGATTTGGGGAAAGGATTTATTTTTCACAGTTTGATAATTTTATTTGAAACTCATGGGTTTTCTTCCTTTAACCATTGAACCGGGCCTGGGGGCAGCATTTTCTAATCTTTTGTCATTAGTTTTATCTTTAATTTTTTTTAGGCCTGTGTTGAATTCTGAATTTTAAAATCTTTTTTTTAAAAAAGACAAAGGGTGTACCAATTTAAATTTTTTATTGAAAAAGGGGATTTCCATGGAATACAGTACGTAATAAAAAAATTTTCTATAGTTTTAAATTTTTAAGAAAAATTATGTCAAAAAAGTTCCTTTTGAATGTGTTCCCCACTTTTTAAGAAATAACCTACCCAATCTTGTTAAATGTACGGACCTTGAGGAAACCATTTTAAAGGGTACTTTCCCCAAAAACAAATTTAAGTTTAGGGAACCTGAAAGTTTGGGTTTATAAAAAACTTTCTTTTGTGGTGGAATTTTATTCATTAACCCGAAAAGGCCCAAACGATATATACTTCCCCACCGTAGTGCCCCACTTTTTTGAAAAAAAAAAAAATCTTTTTTTAATAGGAAAAAAGACATAGGTACCCGGCTCCGCAATTATTTAATATGGCCCCCAATGAGTGCACACACCCTTCTCTCAGCAGGGACAGGCTTATCGGGCAAGTAGAATGACAGTGGACCCCCGTTTAAAGAATTTTTTCACTCCGAAGTATGTTCAGGTCCAGTACTGACCCATTTGTTCCCATAAGAATTTGTGAAGTAATTAGTCCCTTTTTAGACCCCCAAAAATACACGTACAAACGCACTTTTAAAAAACACTACATAATTGGCGCATCGGAGGTGATCGTTATCGGGGGCCACTGTAAACAAAAAAAACGTATATATACTTTTGGGGAGTAGCGGGAAAAACGTATTACAGTGGACCCCCCCATTCAATATTTAATCCGTTCCGGAGCTCATCGAATACCCATAATATCGAAAACCGAATAATTTTTCCCCATAAGAAATAATAAAATCAAATTTTAACTGTGCAAGAAACCCAAAAGTATGAAAAAAAAAATTTTCTAATGAAATATTAATTTATGCAAAAGAAAAATTACAAAAACAAAAAAAAAATTGAATTACCTTTAATGAAGATCTGGGATATTGATGGGATGGAAAGGGGGGGAGGGTGTTATGTTTTGAAGGGGGAAACCCCTTCCCTTTGGACTTTAGGTAGCAAGTCCTTTTCCCTTTTTCTTCCCTTCTTCTTTTAATGCCATAGGGCCCGCTTGAGATCACGGGGCCCCGTCGCCAAAAATTGTCCAAAGCCTTTTCCCCCCGTTCCTTTACGATTTGCTAAAAAAGGGCCCCAAAATTTTCATTGTAAAGCTGTGTTTGGGGGGATTTTTTCCCCCTAAAGGGTTTTCACTTCAACCCCCCGTACCAATTTCCTTTAAATTTTTTAAGGGCACATGTATTCCACAATGGTTTTTTTTTCTCAGGGTTAGCCCCAACCCTTCAAAATCTTTTTAATTTCCAAAATTCTCGCCTTTTTACCCCAGGGGGATAGAAGCTTTCTTGGGGCCCTGGTGCTTAAATTGCAAAGCAAGCCCAAAACACATGGAAAAAGGATAATATGGAATTTACCGAATGTATCCTTAGATGCCGCACACGGCTGGCTTGTAAACACTGGCCACAAGGGGAGTTCAGGCACATGTGGGAAGGGTTGTAGAAACGATCGAAACGGGGGGTTTTAATCGAAAACTGAGGAAAATTTTTGTGATAAATGCATCGAATACCGGATTTTCGAATACCGAGCCTCGAATACCGGGGGTCCACTGATCGTTTGGGGCCTTTTACGGGTTAAAGATTGCCACACAAAAAAACCATCCAAAATTTTAACAATTTCCCACCAAAATACATTTTTTTCCGGGAGTTAGGGTTTACATTACAGGTTTCAGGACAAAGACGATATGTTTTTTTTTAATAAACAGATCTCCGGTGATGCAAGATTTCCAAAGTCTACTCTAGACTTAGCAACTGGTTTTTATATTATCCAAAACTATTTAACCTACAGGTGGTTATCCAAATGTAAAGAACTGTTGACCCTCATATGTTGATGTGATGCATCTTTTTATTTTCAGTGTGCTTATTTATAGTTAAATATGTATACATTTTCATAAGCTAACCTGCCCTGTCAGAAGTCTTTTACAAACTGTTTGTTGCTCAGAAGTTGGTGATATAGATGCTTCCTTTTATATTAGTATACATATATTAAGAATTTTTTATTGTGCGACTATATAGTCTCAATAATTTCTCCTTCAGGACACACCTCAGCATGCAAGAGGACAGATGGGTATCCAGTCATTTTTTAAGTACCCCCAGGAAACACCTTCAAAGCAAATTGAAGATAAAAAAGGTTTGTTGGGGTATTTTAAGATAGTGCCCAGAAGTACAGTGATAAGGAACCTGACTGAAAACCAGCCTGAGAACAACCCTGATTGTGCAGAGGAGGATGAGGTTAGCATAATTAGACGAGACATTGAAGAGAGTTCTGAAGTTAAGGATGTGCATAAGGATGGCAGAAAAACAGATGGACTTTGGGGAAGCAGCTGTAGAGCAAGTGGTAAAACAGAAAAATGTTCTTTTGATATTAAAGAAGTGCCAGTTGGTGATGAAAATGAGTGTGTTAATTTTCATAAAAAAATACATTCCAAATTAAAAACATCTAAATCAGAGGTTTCTCATAAGGACATATTTACCTTAAACGCTGATACGCTATGTAACGCTAAGGAAGAATATCAGTGTGACCAGAAAAAGTCGTCTGTACCTCCAGCTAAAAAGGAGTTTAAATCGTCAGATACACCAAAGAAGGAAAAGACAAATATCTTTGCTTTTATGATGACTAACAGAGGTAAACAAAATGAAATTTTAAAAGCAATGAAGGAGCAAGAAAATATGAATAATACTGAGTTTATTGGTTCTAAAATGGCTGGGCAGAGTCCCAACAAGAAGCAGGAACAAGATAGTGATTTCACAAAAGAAGCAAGCTCGTGTAAGCTAAACATTGTACAGAAAAAAGGTGCAGACACTGAGGATTCTCAAGTCTTAAAAGTGGGCACAAGTAAACTGGTTTCAGGAAGTAATGCATTTGTGCTCATGATGGCAAACCGTCATGGACAGGACAAACTACACTCTAAAAGTATATATTCTGATGAAGAGAGCGAAAAACCTAGAGCAGCTTTTGAAGCTAATACCTCCACAGACAAAGAATTGAATTGTGCTAAAAAACGTAAAAGAGTGGATCTTGATTCCTCTCTCCAGGATTTTGATTTAACAGTAAGCACAAGTGTTAAGAATAAAAGAAAACGCATGAATAAAGAGTTTGAAAGTATATTGGAGGATATTCCGAACAACGAACACGCACACAGTGTGGAAAAGGAAACTAACGTCAGGAATAACAGGTCAGTGACAACATTTCCTGACTGTGGAAACACTGTACCAAACTATTGTGTTGAAGAGAGAGTGATGCAAGAAATAGTATCACCAGTCAAATCAATTTCATTTTCAGATTATATGAAAGAAGCATTAGAAAGAGAGAGCCATTCAAAGCAAGGTAATGTGAAAGCAGACAGTGAAGCACACCAGGGTGTGGGTCAGGGTATCAAAGGAAAATCTCACACAGATGGCAAAGGCACTGACCCTGCTAATAATAAGATTAAACAGACTAGAAGAATAATGAAGGGAAATGTTAGTAAATTGGAGAATGACTTTGCCATTGATGATACATACAAAGTAGTAGATAGTGAAGATGAAGCTATCAATAAGACAATTAGAATGGAAATGAACAATCAGAATCCAGGTAAGTCCCACAGGAAAAGGCTGAGGAAAAAGGTAACTCTAATTGACTCAGATGATGACACTACAAGTACCTGTGAGAAAAAACTTGATTCTACAATGGAAAGACAAGAAGATCCTTGTAACCAGGAAGATGTGGACTGTTGCAAGAAAACTGGAATTTCAAAGTTCTTTAAGAAAATTAGTCAAGAAGAAAGATCAGTGGAAAGGAGCAAGCATGTTTTTACAGTCAAAGCAGATGTTCATGCCACTTATGAAGGGCCTGAGATAAGCACTGATATTGAATCTTTTAGGAGCAAAGTTTGTGATAGGCAGCATTCTAATATTGTAAATATTAACAAAGAGAGCATGTCTGAAAGTTATAACAAGGACTGCAACCGCAGCATAAGTAAGAGAATTAGGAAGAGTCAAGAACTAGAAGATTTGAATAAGATAGAAGTATTGGAGCAAATTTCCATCACTGTGTCACCAAAGAAAAGTCAGGTCAGTTCATTAAATTTTATCAGTGATGTCAAGGTTGAAGAACCTCTAGGTGAGCTGGATGCAGTCATGAAGAGAGAGAAAGGATCAGCTAAGATCTCACATTATAGTGATGTTGTGAAAGAAAATGAAAATACAGGTAAGACCAAAAATGAATTAACTAAGACTTCAAGAAAGGTTTTAAGAGCTTCTCAAGATCAGAATGTTAATAATGAAAAAAAAGTTAAAAAGGAAGTTATTAGTTCAGAAATTGAATGTTGTGAAGATCAGGCTCAAGCAGTTGTCACTCAAAAAAAATCTAGAAAAAGCATATCCAAGGAAAAACAGAAAGTGCAGGAAAAAGGTAATCTGGAAGACAGAAACTGTGGTAAAGAACAGGTAAATGTAAGAAGATCATTGAGAAGAAAGAAGGTAACATCAGAGGTGGAGGAGGAGAACTGTCCTGAAGAAACTGCAGCGGCTAACAAAGTGAAAACGTCCAGCTGTTCACTACCTTCAGTGGAATCTATTTCTGACATCAGCTTTGATTCAGTCTCAGAAAATGATAGAACTGGAGATGAATGTACTTCAACAAAAATTCATGAAAATGACAAGGAAAACATTGTCAAATATACTTCCACACTTATCCAGAAACCTGGCAAACTTCGGTAAGTTACAGTGCATGCTTTAAGATCAGTATTGTTACAAGAGCTATTAGCCATTTTAATCACTGTTTTAATGTATACTATATTGGAATAAAACAGTATTGCAGTTCTTTCTTTCAACACACCGGCCGTATTCCACCAAGGCAGGGTGGCCCAAAAAGAAAAACAAAAGTTTCTCTTAAATTTAGTAATTTATACGGGAGAAGGGGTTACTAGCCCCTTGCTCCCGGCATTTTAGTCGCCTCTTACAACACGCATGGCTTACAGAGGAAGAATTCTGTTCCACTTCCCCATGGAGAGTATTGCATTTATCAGCCATTTAAAAAGCATGTTAAATATTTTTATTCCTGGGCTTAGTTACATAAATCAGTGAGCCTGGAAGCATAGATATTTATCCCTTCATCTATTTGCAAGTTTTTAGAAAGAACTAGTCAGTAAGTAAACTTGAATGATGATTTGGAGCACCTGAGTGTCTCCCTGAATATGGATTGCCCTGGGCATTTCTTTCAGGTAGAGACACATTGAAAGTTCACACTTTGATCTCTGACTTGTTACTGTAATCATTGGTATTTTAAGCATATGCAGTGTAATAATGTAATAATAATAATTACAATTTATTTTTCAGCTTAAGAATAAAAAGGATTCATAATCATCCACAGCATTTAGTGAATAATAGAAGATTAAGCTTAAAGAAGAGTAATATAGCTGAGAGCCAAACAGTACAACAGAAAGCTAAGAAGCTTCTGCAGAAGGCTAAGGGGACCAGAAAGTTCAGTGTGAGTAAGAGGAAGAAAGCACGGTTGGATAATGTAGCTAAGTATGAGGACAAACATGTTATGCTTGTTAACATGGCACTTATTAACAGTGATGTCACTAATGTTTCTTCATTTGTGGGTGACAAAAAGGCCTCTTCTAAGCAGACCAGAAAAAGGAAATCAGCTCAGGCATTGCCCAAACCAACAGATGCAACAAGAAGAAAGCGAAAGCAGAAAAATAATCTCAGAGTACAGAAGATAAAGAAAACCGAGAATGAGACCAATGAAGAAAACTGTAGTAGACGTCACAGGCCATGTCGTCAGGCTGCTATCACTGCTAACAAAGCCCTAGATGAACACAGGAAAATAGTAGCTTTGGAGAAAGGAGAGAAGAAATTGAGCAAGGATAGTAGAAGAGATCCCATTGCCAAAGGTAAGCATGTGGTTTCTTCTCCTTATAATAAAAATTCCATTACATTTCTTCCCTGCTACTCCACTTTCAAGGCTTGTTAAGCCTTGTGGGTTTCCTAATTTACAGGCTTTGATTATTTAACCCGTAAATGGTCCAAACGTATATACAGTGGACACCCGCATAACGATATTAATCCGTTCCTGAGAGCTCACTGTTACGCGAAATTATCGTTATGCGAATGAATTTTCCCCATAAGAAATAATGGAAATCAAATTAATCCGTGCAAGACACCCAAAAGTATGAAAAAAAAGAATTTTACCACATGAAATATACAGTGGACCCCCGGTTAACGATATTTTTTCACTCCAGAAGTATGTTCAGGTGCCAGTACTGACCGAATTTGTTCCCATAAGGAATATTGTGAAGTAGATTGGTCCATTTCAGACCCCCAAACATACACGTACAAACGCACTTACATAAATACACTTACATAATTGGTCGCATTCGGAGGTGATCGTTATGCGGGGGTCCACTGTACATTTACCTACACACAAAGAGAAGGATACATGTACAATAGTAGAGCAGTACATGCACAATATATATTGTGCATGTAGTACTCTACTAAATGAAGAATAAATGACACTTACCTTTATTGAAGATGCAGCAATGACTGATGAGACACTGTGTCCTGGGAGTGCCTTTTCCTCCTGAGTACTGTAGGTCCTGTTTGGCATTTTCTTCCAGAACAGGCCTTATCACACTGTGTATGCCACTATGATTCTTAAATCTCTCAAACCAACCTCTGCTGGCTTTAAATTCACCAATACGAGCACTAGTTCCAGGCATTTTTCCCTGTTCACCTGGGTGTTAGTCGACTGGTGTGAGTTGCATCCTAGGAGACAAGATTAAGGACCCCAATGGAAATAAGTTAGATAGTCTTCGATGACACTGACTTTTTTTTGGGTTATCCTGGGTGGCTAACCCTCTGGGGTTAATTGTTTCTTGGTATTCTCAATAAGCCACACCAGCAACGGTGCTACAGCAGCAGCAGCTGACAGTGCTACAGCAGCAGCTGACAGTGCTACAGCAGCAGCAGATGGTGCTACAGCAGCAGCAGACGGTACTACAGCAGCAGCAGCAGCTGACGGTGGTACAGCAGCAGCAGCAGCTGACAGTGCTACAGCAGCAGCAGACGGTGCTACAGCAGCAGCAGACGGTACTACAGCAGCAGCAGCAGCTGACGGTGCTACAGCAGCAGCAGCTGACAGTGCTACAGCAGCAGCAGAAGCAGCTGACAGTGCAGCAGCAGCAGCTGACAGTGCTACAGCAGCAGCAGATGGTGCTATAGCAGCAGCAGATGGTACTACAGCAGCAGCAGCAGCTGACAGTGGTACAGCAGCAGCAGCAGCTGATGGTGCTACAGCAGCAGCAGCAGCTGACAGTGCTACAGCAGCAGCAGATGGTGCTACAGCAGCAGCAGATGGTACTACAGCAGCAGCTGACAGTGCTACAGCAGCAGCAGACGGTGCTACAGCAGCAGCAGACGGTACTACAGCAGCAGCAGCAGCTGACGGTGGTACAGAAGCAGCAGCAGCTGACGGTGCTACAGCAGCAGCAGCTGACAGTGCTACAGCAGCAGCAGAAGCAGCTGACAGTGCAGCAGCAGCAGCAGCTGACAGTGCTACAGCAGCAGCAGATGGTGCTACAGCAGCAGCAGATGGTACTACAGCAGCAGCAGCTGACAGTGGTACAGCAACAGCAGCAGCTGATGGTGCTACAGCAGGAGCAGCAGCTGACAGTGCTACAGCAGCAGCAGACGGTGCTACAGCAGCAGCAGATGGTACTACAGCAGCAGCAGCAGCAGCAGCTGATGGTGGTACAGCAGCAGCAGCAGCTGACGGTGCTACAGCAGCAGCAGCAGCTGACAGTGCTACAGCAGCAGCAGCATCAGCAGTTGACCATGGTACCACAGTATTTCGATAATATTTCTCACCCTTTTTACCACAGGGTTGGCACTAGAAGTTTTCTTGGGGCCCATGGTCACTTATTTTGCAGATAAAATCACCAGAAACGCTGTAATAATACGAAATGTTCCGATTGTATGCTTGGATGCTACCGTGGAGGCTGGCTTGTAAACAATGCCACCGGCGGAACATGTGAGGCTGGCTCAGGCCGCACATTAGACGCGTCTCGGACGAATAGCGTTGAGCGGGTTTTTTAGCGGTATGCGAGGCAAAATCTTAGCGATAAAATGTATCGGTATGCGGATTTAACGTTATGTGATGCCAACTGTGTGCGGGGGTCCACTGTATACGTTTTTTCAACATTTGAAAGTATGTAAAATAAGTAGATCTTTTTGTTTTTTTTTTACATTTGAAAATGTGTAAAAAAACTTTGATCTACTTTTTTTGTTGTTGTTGTTGTTGTTGTTGAAAATATGTAAAAAAAACGTAGATCTACTTTTGTAGCACTACACATGTGAACATAGATCTGCTTGGACCGTTTACGGGTTAATGTACTTACTGAAAGGTCTCCCCTGAATAGTTTCAATTATGCACTTTTTTTTTTTTTTTTTTTTTTTTCATAAAACACTGTCATTATCTGAGCTCCATAATTCTAACATTGCCTTGAGCTTAGGAAATGGAAATATCCCTCTCTTTTCTTGATTTTATGACCCATATGGGTTTAGTGCTGCTAAATCCTTGGTTCAAACTTCATTGCCTCCCATTCCCCAGGCACTCTATATAATGTTTAAGGGTTAGCACATAGTGATGAATATACAGAGGGCCCCTGCATATACATCACCCTCTTTTCAGTATTCCACATTTTCATTTCCTTTTAATTGAGTCATTGTTCATTATGCACCACCTGCCAGCAACAGTCATCAGCAGGTGGAACAATGTCTCAGTTGAAAGCCAACAAAAATGTGAAACACCAAGAAGAGGTGCTGTATGTATGGGGCCCTCCTGTACAGTTGCCTGAGCCAAGAAAGGGCACCTACCCATTCCAATAGTTCCATGTACCTTTCCCATTCATGTTAAAGCTCATTTGCAGCTGGCACATTAGCTGCCACTTCATCCTGTGGATATACCAAGTAGTATAGGGGGTTTCGTACATAAAAATTTTAAATTAGTGGAATTTGAAAAAAGTTACCAAGAAAATTCTCAACATTTTTAACAGTAATAGATATTGTTTAAATAAGTGCCTTATTACAATATTTTTTTAAGTATGCTACATGGGGGTGGTAGTCAGACAGCAGTGAAAGATGCCATATTTATTTATGAGTAGACTCTTTTTTCTATCTTATTTTGTGTATGTCTGGGATGCTGGCTTATGCATATACACCTGAAAATTTTGGGGCATCATTGCTTACATATTAATGGAATTGATAAATGTTTATCAATATCAAAGTATGCCAGTTACTTTGTAATCTATCAGTTTAACTTGCTCCCTTGCACAATGAGGGGCATTACAGGTATGTATTTACAGAAACAGTACTCAAGCCATGTCACTTCCTGTTATTTTAGTATTGCCCATTAATCATTGTTTGAATTTCCATTAATAATTTGTTTCTACAAACTGACCATATCCCATCAAGACTCAAGAAATCATAATGACATGATTGCAAACAAATCATGGCTAGTGAGTCGTAAAACTGGCTAATGCGCCGGTTTGGAGTTTTACGACTCACTAGCCGCAAGTTCAATTCCTTCCCATATCATGGTTTCATATCCCACCATTCAGGGTGACCTAAAAAGAAAAGTGAGTTTTTCTTTCTTAAATTTAGTAATTTATACTGGAGAAGGGCTTAATCATTGTTTTATCTCCCTATAATTCTTTTTATTGTCTCATTATGAAGCATAATTTTTCTCATCATGCTCATTATGTTGTTCATACACTGTATGTAGTATCAGTACTGTACAAACACTAAATATTTATTAAAAAAAAGTTGGTATTTGCAGATGCAAAATTGGCACCAATATTTTACAAGAAATCCAAGTCTCCACCTTGTATAGAGATAATAAAGGTAGTGACATTGTCTCCAGCCAAACTTAAGGCTCGTCAGGACTTCTTACAGTCTGGCGTACCAGATGAGATTAAGAAGCATCAGATTGTGGAGAGAAGGTATGAAATGTTCAGTGGGTAAGCTTTGGTAGGTTGTACCCAATAAATGATTACGTTTGCAATGTACTAAACTGTATTCTTTATTCTTTGTTTAAAATTGATACTTTGGAACTTTACATTTTACTTCATACATTGCATTTAGCAAAACTACATACCTTCTGTGATGTTAAAATTGATTTGTGACACAAACCTAAGCAACTTGAGGACTTTGCAGTTGCTCATACAGTATGTAAATACGTATGTATTTACATATACGTTTCCTTACCAAATTGTGCCAAACAACTATACCATATAAAACACACATCAAAGATTGATGCATTTGATAGTCAAAGACAAAAATATTAATAAAAAAAATGATCCCTCAGTACATGTCAACATCATAAAAATAAAAGTAACTTTTTTTTTTATTTTATTTATTATCACACTGGCCGATTCCCACCAAGGCAGGGTGGCCCGAAAAAGAAAAACTTTCACCATCATTCACTCCATCACTGTCTTGCCAGAAGGGTGCTTTACACTACAGTTTTTAAACTGCAACATTAACGCCCCTCCTTCAGAGTGCAGGCACTGTACTTCCCATCTCCAGGACTTAAGTCCGGCCTGCCGGTTTCCCTGAACCCCTTCATAAATGTTACTTTGCTCACACTCCAACAGCACGTCAAGTATTAAAAACCATTTGTCTCCATTTACTCCTATCAAACACGCTCACACATGCCTGCTGGAAGTCCAAGCCCCTCACACACAAAACCTCGTTTACCCCCTCCCTCCAACCTTTCCTAGGCCGACCCCTACCCCACCTTCCTTCCACTACAGACTGATACACTCTTGAAGTCACTCTGTTTCGCTCCATTCTCTCTACATGTTCGAACCACCTCAACAACACTTCCTCAGCCCTCTGGACAGCAGTTTTGGTAATCCCGCACCTCCTCCTAACTTCCAAACTACGAATTCTCTGCATTATATTCACACCACACATTGCCCTCAGACATGACATCTCCACTGCCTCCAGCCTTCTCCTCGCTGCAACATTCATCACCCATGCTTCACACCCATATAAGAGCGTTGGTAAAACTATACTCTCATACATTCCCCTCTTTGCCTCCAAGGACAAAGTTCTTTGTCTCCACAGGCTCCTAAGTGCACCACTCACTCTTTTCCCCTCATCAATTCTATGATTCACCTCATCTTTCATAGACCCATCCGCTGACACGTCCACTCCCAAATAACATTACTGTAAAATTACTGTACCAAATTGTACCAAACAGCTAGGAATTTATCACACTTATATCAAGTAGTCATGCAGGATACATTCCTGTAAATTGGCACTGTATGGAAATTACCAGTATGTGAGGTGATGAACGTGTGGGAAAATATGGTTTCGTTCCAGACACCTCCAAATTTACCAAATGATTATTAATATTCTACTAGGTACTACAGCTTATCCTGCCTTTCATTCTAACAGTTGTTTCAACCTATTTGCCCTTTGCAAGTAATTTCATTTTAACTAGGTACAGTAAGGTTGATTTGCTTTTTAAACCACATGGTACACAGTTACTTATGTAAAGAGGAGAAAGGTTGCAAGATTTAAAGGTAAATCTATTAATAAATAATGTAAGTATATTACCACAGAAGTTGCATAACATACCAATAACTAGTGTTTTGTATTTTTTCCAGTATGCAGGAGGAGGAGTTAAGTAACTGGCCCATGTTTCCTGAAGTAAGCCATGTTCAACAAAGAACAAATGAGACTCTATGGAAGCTTGGCATCCCAGAAGTGAGTTTTATAATATAGTATGTAAGAGTTTGATTATTGAAAGAGTGTATTTGTTTATTAAACTTTAATATATTGTTATATAATGGCAGCAGGGGGTTAAGGAACAGATTGGAAAGTATGGATTGGCATGTGGCTGTATACCAAGATACCGTCTTCTAATTTCCTCATTCCATGTGCTTTTAGCATTTGTCTTAATACAATCTATTGTTGCAGCTGTTTGTGCTTTCATCCTTCTTAATACAGCACTCTCTTCACATTAACTTTTTTGCTTTTATTGAAATATGTATATCTAATTTCTCCTTATCTGAAGCATGAAATTTATGCTTCCACCATTTCACTATCTACATTCAACAGTTTTGTCATTATTTTCTTTTCTACCTCCTTATCCTGTCTCTCATTACTTTCCTTTCATTCTTAACTTAAAAATCCATTTGTTTTCTATATATCCTCATTTCTCTCTCTCCAAAGAGGTGGTGCGGGATTACCAAAACTGTTGTCCAGAGGGCTGAGGAAGGGTTGTTGAGGTGGTTCGGACATGTAGAGAGAATGGAGCAAAAGAGTGTATCAGTCTGTAGTGGAAGGAAGGCGGGGTAGGGGTTGGCCTAGGAAAGGTTGGAGGGAGGGGGTAAAGGAGGTTTTGTATGCGAGGGGCTTGGACTTCCAGCAGGCATGCGTGAGCATGTTTGATAGGAGTGAATGGAGGCAAATGGTTTTTAATACTTGACGTGCTGTTGGAGTGTGAGCAAAGTAACATTTATGAAGGGGTTCAGGGAAACCGGCAGGCCGGACTTGAGTCCTGGAGATGGGAAGTACAGTGCCTGCACTCTGAAGGAGGGGTGTTAATGTTGCAGTTTAAAAACTGTAGTGTAAAGCACCCTTCTGGCAGGACAGTGATGGAGTGAATGATGGTGAAAGTTTTTCTTTTTCGGGCCACCCTGCCTTGGTGGGAATCGGCCAGTGTGATAATAAACAAAAAATAACAAGGCACAATACCATGGCTGGAACAATACACAAATAACCTGCACATAGGAGAGAGGAGCTTACGACAATGTTTTGGTCCAACTTGGACCACTCTCTGTACTTTACATTACCACTACTACTGTTACTACCATTACCAGCCTTACCCCTACCAATACTACTACTAATACTTCCACTACCTGCCTTACCACTATTACTACTACTCCCCACCTCTCTTGTTCCATCCCTGCCAGTTGGCCTATATATACTGGCTCCATCTCTTTTTTCTTTTAGTGTGACTTGGTAAATAGTCCAAGTTGGACTGAAACATTGTTGTAAGCTCCTCTCTCCTATGTGCAGATTATTTGTGTATACATTTCATTTTATTAGCAGTTTGGAGGGATATGTTGTGTATCTTTATACATTCTTCTTTCTTTCAACACACCGGCCGTATCCCACTGAGGCGGGGTGGCCCAAAAGGAAAAACGAAAGTTTCTCCTTTTACATTTAGTAATATATACAGGAGAAGAGGTTACTAGCCCCTTGCTCCCGTCATTTTAGTCGCCTCTTACAACACGCACGGCTTACGGAGGAAGAATTCTGTTCCACTTCCCCATGGAGATAAGAGGAAATAAACAAGAATAAGAACTAGAAAGAAAATAGAAGAAAACCCAGAGGGGTGTGTATATATATGCTTGTACATGTATTGGCAGTTTGGAGGGATATGTTGTGTATCTTTATATGTGTATGCTTCTAAACTGTTGTATTCTGAGCACCTCTGCAAAAACAGTGATAATGTGCGAGTGTGGTGAAAGTGTTGAATTGATGATGAAAGTATTTTCTTTTTGGGGATTTTCTTTCTTTTTTGGGTCACCCTGCCTCGGTGGGAGACGGCCAACTTGTTGAAAAAAAAAAAAAAAGATGTATGTGTAGTGTGACCTAAGTGTAAGTAGAAGTAGCAAGACGTACCTGAAATCTTGCATGTTAATGAGACAGAAAAAAGGACACCAGCAATCCTTCCATCATGTAAAACAATTACAGGCTTTCGTTTTACACTCACTTGGCAGGACGGTAGTACCTCCCTGGGCGGTTGCTGTCTACCAACCTACTACCTAGGATCTTTATATATACATATTCTTCTAAACTGTTGTGTTCTGAGTGCCTCTGCAAAAACAGTGATTATGTGTGAGTGAGGTGAAAGTGTTGAATGATGATGAAAGTATTTTCTTTTTGGGGATTTTCTTTCTTTTTGGGTCACCCTGCCTCGGTGGGAGACGGCTGACTTGTTAAAAAAAAAAAAAAAAATTCATTTCTCCTATACTGACCCTCCTGTAGCCATAAACCTCTGCTGCATACTTTATACATGTATATTCATACATGCATACTGTATATATAATTTTTTAACCCAGATTCGTTTACGAGAGACTGAACATGAAAGTTACACTCCTGATGCATCGGTGTGGCAAAAGGTTTTTCCTTACACAAACTGTCTGCTTGACAAAACTAACTCTGTTTCAAGGGGATCTCTAGTTCATGTCCCAACATTGGATTCTGAAGATATAGCTTCAATATTAGCATATATGAAGAGTAAAAATCCAAATTTTCCTGTTTATAGAGTTTTTAAATCATACTATGATATGAAGAAAAGAGCTGTCGAATTGTACAGAAAAGAGCTGGAGAAAGAGAGGCAGGCTGTTATTGTTCTGGATGACAATGATGTTAAGGTAAAGAAGAAACTCAGGCTGAAAACCAAATCAACAGTGTTGAGTAGGAGTAAACGATGCAAACTAGCTGGTACAAGAGGACAGGAAGAAGAAGCAAGTATACAAGAGAGGTCAAGTTTACCATTGTGGCATGAAAAAACTCCACACTCATGGACGCAAGTCTTTGCACCAAAAAATGGCAAACAAGTCATAGGAAACACAGGTATGTTGTTTGTTTTTGGTGATACTGTGTGTGTTGCTAAACATGTTTAGCAACACACAGTGCAAAGTCTGCTGGGGACATATAGAGGTTGTTGTTTTCAAGTTATTCAAAACATTTATATTTCAATTTTGAAAAAATGGTTTACACAATGGGTGGTTGCTGTGGCCTTCAATTTTTACTTTTGTTTTAAGGTTTGCAGAGAGTAAGAGTGAGCATACATGTGCAGCAGTTTTAATTAATTTATTCCAGATATTGGAGTCAGTGATGATGTGTGGTATATCACTGCATATTAATCTTCTTGGATACACTATGGTAAATCTTGACATAGCATCGTACATAATTCCCTGAAAATCACCGAGCAACTTTAAAATATGCAAATTAAGCTGTTTTATGTAAATAGTTTTTTTATAGCTTCATTATAGCTTAGCTTCTACTTTGGCCATCCTCACTTATGGAGATGTTGATCTATGCCTTTTGGGATGAGATGAATAGCTGTGGTTCTTGCACAGATGTTAATGTAATCTTCAGCAGTTGATGGATATTTTGGAATCACCCAGTTTTCTATAATGCATCTGCATTGTGTTAACTTGCATTGATTTGTAGAGGTCATAAGGCATCAATTGCTCTAGATTCAATTTCAGCATAAAGTGCCTATCCATGTTAGTATCTAAAGAAACCATTTTTAATCTGGTTATAGGCAAGCATATTTTTGCATATGATTTGCAGCGTGGCCTGTATTTCTTCTCTGCTTTTCCTTCTCCTTTTCCTGAGACTTTGTCACCTCCAGTAATTCTTCTGCAGCCACTCCTGTCATTTTTGCTTTAGCATTTGCAATGTATATTGTGCAAAAAGGCCTTAAATGTTTTCTTTCCTGTACCTTAGAGTGTGCTCAAGATTTTTTCTTCTTGTGAACATTTTGTTGCCTACTAAAACCTGAAACTTACAATTTTTAGTTGTAGTAAACTATATTCAGTTGTCATCTACTGCAGAAAATGTGAACAGGCTCAAGATGTGGCTACAAGAGTGGAAAAGGAAGTGCCAGGCTTATGCAAATAAGCAGAAAAGCATGAAGAAAAAATTATCTAGAAAAGGTAAGACAAATTATTAATTATTAATGGCATTTAATTATTAATGACCATTATTAATGGCATTTAATTATTAATGACCATTATTAATGGCATTTAATTATTAATGACCATAAAAAATATAAATGAAAACATTATAGTGAATGCAGGTGTCTTCATTAACTTTTGAGAGTACAGTACAGTATAGTAATGGAAGCAGTAGTTAAGTGTAGGGATCTCTTCAGCATCTTTCACATAGACATTGCAATAAACAAATAAGCAAGGATTTCTCCATACTAAAAACAGTTATTTCACACCAGATGATTGGTTTGAGGAATCAGACAAGTCCAGCAGTTGGGACGAAGATGAGTTCGTTAACACCTATCTTCTCTGTGGACCTCCTGGCATTGGCAAAACTGCGGCAGTATATGCCCTGGCTGCTGAACTTGGCTATAGGGTAAGTTATTTGCATTAGTCATATTTTATTTCTTAGAGAATTTAAGAAACCATGTTACTGAGAGCAAATTTTATATGGAACTCTTTGGACTTCACTGTTCTTACAATGTTAAGGTAAGGCTTGTTATTTTGTTATTATATATTATGAACAAGAAGGCGTTAGGAAAGGTAGGGCATGTGTATACCAAGCATTTACAGTGACCCATATAAATGAACAGTATTTAGATAAGGGTAAAGAGGTTTTTGTTGAATTTATGAATTTGGAAAAGGCATATGATAGGGTGGATAGGGAAGGAATGTGGCAATGTCACAAGTGTATGAATAGGTGGTGGGTTACTGAAAGCAGTTAAGAGATTTTATGAGAATAATGAGACTCAGGTTAGAGTATGTAGGAGAGAGGGAAATTTTTTCCTAGCGAAAGTATGCCTTAGACAGGGATGCATGATGTCACCATGGTTGTTTAATATACAGTCTCTCCTCACTCGTTTACCAACGACTCGGACTTACAGGCTCTCTGACCAGTATGCCTACCTAAATTATGTATATTAGAGCTGATTTCCTCTATTCTGTTTATTACAATATGCAGTACACTACTGTATAAATATTTAAAAATATACCAGAAATGTTATAAATGGTGCAGAGGTTACACAATATCCATGTAAGAGAAGGAAATTAAAACTGAACATAGGAAAGATTAATGTGATAAAGATTACAAAAAATTCAGGTAATGAAAAATTGGATATCAGATTGGAGGGAGGGAGTATATGGGAAGGGAATGTATTCAGATATTTGGGAGTGGACTTGTCAGCAAATGTGTCTGTGAAAGATGTGGTGAATCATAGAATTAATGAGTGGTGCACTGAGGAGTCTGTGGAGACAAAGAATGTTATCCATGGAAGCAAAAAGGGAAATGTATGAGAGTATACTGGTACCAATGCTCTTATATGGGTATGAAGCATGTGTGATGAATGTTGCAGCAAGAAGACTGGAGGCAGTGGTGCATCTGAGGGAAACGTGTGGTGTGAATGTTATGCAGAGAATCCATAGCTTGGAGATTAGGAGGAGGTGCGGGGTTTCTAAAAGTACTGTTCAGAGGGCAGAGTGAGGGTTGTTGAGGTGGTTCAGATATTTAGAAAGAATGGAGCGAAACAGACTGACTTAGAAGGCGTATGAATCTGTAGTGGAAGGGAGGCAGGGTAGGGGTCATCTTAGGAAGGATTGGAGGGAGAGGGTAAGGGTGGTTTTGTGTGTGAGGCGCTTAGTCTTCCAGCAAGTATGCGTGAGCTTGTTAGATAGGAGCCAGTAGAGGCAAATGGTTTTTATGACTTGACAGGCTGTTGGAGTGTGAGCAAAGTAACATTTGTGAAGTGATTCAAGAAACCAGTTAGCTGGACTTGAGTCCTGTAGGTGGGAAGTACAGTGCCTGTGCTCTGAAGGATTGGTGGAGATATGCTGCAGTTTTTGAACTGTAGTGTAGATATGCCTCTGGAAAGACAGTGATGGACCGAGTGGTGAAAGTGCTTCGTCTTTTGTGGGTCACTCTGCCTCGATGGGAAATGGCCGATGTGTTAATAAAAAAAAATAGTGTCATTGCAGATTGTTTCTAATTTAACCCTTTCAGGGTCAAGACTGCTGATCTCAGACTTGCTCTCAGGGTTGCAGAATTTAAAAAATATATATTTTTTCTTTTTGGGGATTTTCTTTCTTTTTGGGTCACCCTGCCTCGGTGGGAGACAGCCGACTTGTTGAAAAAAAAAAAATTCTTATGAAAGGATACAAAATCTTTCTAGAGGTAATGAAACCAAAAGTATGAAATTTGATGGAAAATTTACACAATTACGCTTTCGCAAATTTAGTGGTGTCAGCGATATTTACACATTGGAGATTCCACCCACTTTGAGCCCTGTTTTGGCTAATTACATTGTTCTAGTCATCCAAACTGATAGCTATTTTGCTGGTATGCCTTCTAGTGATTGAATACAGGAAACTACTCATTTACCTATTTCAACTACCCAATAAAGTCATCAGAAATTGGTAATTTGGCCAATTTCCCACAAAAAAAAACTGCAAGTTTAAAAATAGGTCCAGAATAAACAATGTTGCATTCCTGGCACTAAAAAAATAATTTCCTCTGTTCATTAGTTATGTCCCCAGGCCTCTCTTATATTACCTGGAGTTTACCTGGAGAGAGTTCCGGGGGTCAACGCCCCCGCGGCCCGGTCTGTGACCAGGCCGCCTGGTGGATCAGAGCCTGATCAACCAGGCTGTTACTGCTGGCTGCACGCAAACCAACGTACGAGCCACAGCCCGGCTGGTCAGGAACCGACTTTAGGCGCTTGTCCAGTGCCAGCTTGAAGACTGCCAGGAGTCTGTTGGTAATCCCCCTTATGTATGTTGGGAGGCAGTTGAACAGTCTCGGGCCCCTGACACTTATTGCATGGTCTCTTAATGTGCTAGTGACACCCCTGCTTTTCATTGGGGGGATGTTGCATCGTCTGCCAAGTCTTTTGCTTTCGTAGTGAGTGATTTTCGTGTGCAAGTTCGGTACTAGTCCCTCTAGGATTTTCCAGGTGTATACGTATAATCATGTATCTCTCCCGCCTGCGTTCCAGGGAATACAGGTTTAGGAACCTCAAGCGCTCCCAGTAATTGAGGTGTTTTATCTCCGTTATGCACGCCGTGAAAGTTCTCTGTACATTTTCTAGGTCAGCAATTTCACCTGCCTTGAAAGGTGCTGTTAGTGTACAGAAATATTCCAGCCTAGATAGAACAAGTGACCTGAAGAGTGTCATCATGGGCTTGGCCTCCCTAGTTTTGAAGGTTCTCATTATCCATCCTGTCATTTTTCTAGCAGATGCGATTGATACATTGTTATGGTCCTTGAAGGTGAGATCCTCCGACATGATCACTCCCTGGTCTTTGACGTTGGTGTTTCGCTCTAAGATGGTCGTAGTTTTTTTCCACATTATGCACTGCTTACTGCAGGATTTTTTTTTAATATTGTGCTCACTTACCATATAGACCCATTTTCTCATCTCTGGGCCCAAATTTACCGCTCACAGCTTGTCTGAGTGAACCGAGCTCATGGTGTAGAACTATGGGACTGACCCTAGCTTCAAAGCTGTAGTACAACAGGACCAGCCCCGAAAGGGGTAAGATCCTCAGTGATGAGGTAGTCCAAAACATATAAAATGATAGGTAGGACAATAGGGGAATTCAACTGAATTTAGAAGAACAGACTGGGACTTTTGTTTTTATTAAATGGGAAGAATGGTGTGAAGTTTTTAATGATATATTGCAGTTAAAAGGACATATGTAGTGTACTGAAAGCAAAGTAGGTGAAGCTAGAAGCTGTAACTAGCAAAGGTGGTGGAAAAATAGCTGAAAGTAAAGTAGGACAAGGAAGAGAAACAGTAAGTCATTAAGGACCATATTAAATGGAATCACTTTAAATGTGCAGTACAGGGCATAGATATGGACCCTATGATCTGCTACACTCTTGCTATGCTTGCTAGAAATAATGCATTCAGTTGATTTATAGTTTTGTAGTACATAATAGTTTTGTTTGAAACCCTGTTTTATTTGTTCCATTAGTGTACGTAAAGTGACAATATGTACAATATACAGGTCGGCCATCACTAATCCGGCAATCAGTTATCCGGTTCCATCAGTAATCCAGCACTAATTTCAGCTAGCATAATTTGAAATTTCATCATTATACTGACTCAGAAATTGTGCAGATGGTTGTAAATCCACAGCAGCAAGCCAATGGAGGAGAAAGCAGTGATGAAAATGAGGAAGATGTGGCAGAAAGAGTTTCTGTTGATAGGCTAATTCAGTTGACAGGTAAAATGCTAAAAGGTCTAGAGCAACACAGTTTTATAAGTGAACAAGAAATAATGAACGTTTACATGCTGCAGGATATACTAATCAAAGAAAGGCCAAAATATAAGTGTATTCTAACCTAACCACTCTGTAATCCAGCAAACTCACTACAGGTCCCAGTGATGCCGTATTAGTGATGGCCGACCTGTACTTGGTTAAACTATCTAATGGATAAATTGTTATTTATAAGTACTGTACACAAATCTAATACGTACTGTATTATATATTTGATTTTTTAATAGTTTGGAGCCAGTACATTTAATGTTCTCGTATTAGAGTAAAGAGGACTTTTCAAACAAACCTCTTCAGTGACATCCATTTTTAGGTACACCTACCATCCGACTTACGACCGAGTTCGGTTCCGAGAAACCGGTCATAAGTCGAAATGGATGTAAGTCGAACTTTACTACTGAATATTAACATCACATTTTTGTAATGACTTTATTGTTTTATTTTGGTATTTAATGTTTTACTTTACCTTTTATGCTGTTAGTACTGTATTTTATACTGTAAGGTTTAGGATAAACACTGTGTACAACACAAATAGTTGTTTATTTCCCAGAAATTTGTCAAAAAAACACGGTCGTAAGTCGAGCAGGTCGTAAGTCGGATGGTAGGTGTATTTATTATATTTCTATTATTTTTTAACCTTTCTCTCCCACATTTCTTTTCTACATTTCCTAGGCAAGGATTTCCCTTTCCATGTACAGTAATTAATGTAATGAAGATACTGTAATGATAAATTGAACAAACTAGGATTAATATATAATTTTTTTAGCATGTTGGCAGTGTCCCACGAAGATAGTGACCCAAACAAGAAGAAACTTTTTCACCATCATTCACTCAGGCACTGTCTTGCCAGAAGTGTGCTGACATAACAGCTTAGATGACCCTCTGAACTGCAATATACCTAGTCCTTCAGAGTGCAGGCAATATGCTTCCCACCTCCACAACTCAAGTCCAGCAAACTGGTTTCCCAGAATACCTTCATAAATGTTACCTTGCTCACACTCCAACAATACCTCAAATCATAGAATCACCTGTATCCACTCATTCATATTTAACACACTTGCATGAGCCAAGTTCTTTGCATGCAAAACCTCTTTTACCCCCTTACTCCAACCTTTCCTAGGACAATCCCTACCTCTCCTTCCCTCCAGCCCAGATTTATACATCCTCATAGTCAACCTATTTTTCTCCAACCTCTTTAAATGTCCAAACCACCTCAACAACCTCTCCTCAGGTCTCTGAATAATACTTTTGGTAACCCCCAAACCTCCTAATCTCCAAACACCGATTTTTTTTTTTTTTTTTTGCACAATATTCTCGCCACACATTGGCCTCAAACATGACATCTCCATTGTCTCCAGTCTCCTCCATGTTTCTCCATTTAAAACCCATGTTTTGCTCAAGACTATACTCTGGTACATTCCCCTGAAGGATAATATAATAAAATTATTGATGTTTGTAGGTTCTGGAGGTGAATGCATCCTCTCGAAGACCTGGGCGTCAGGTTATGAGCCAGCTTGTTGAAGCCACTCAGTCTCACTCAGTATCAAATAATTCATCTCATGCTAGCGGAACAGTAGCAGCCATGTTTGCAGCAAAGTTGCGTAGCCCTTCAAAAAAAGGTGAGTACGGTAAGCATACAAGTGAGTTTTTAAATTTATTAACATTCGTCTATTCTGTAGTTCACCTCCAGTGCCCATCTGCCGAGATATACATCCACTCCCAAATACAGTGGACCCCCGCCTTACGATCAGGTCCCAACTCGACCAATTATGTAAGTGTATTTTTGTAAGTGCTTTAGTAGGTGTATTTTTGGGGGTCTGAAACGGACTAATCTAATTCGCAATATTCCTTATGGGAACAAATTCGGTCTATAACGGCACCCAAACAGACTTCTGGATTGAAATAATATCGTTAGGCGGGGGTCCACTGTATTTGAATACATGCTTCCTTCCTCCAATCTGGTATATAACCTTTCATTGCCTAGACTTTTTATTACTCTCATCACCTTGCTCTTTTCTGTATTCACCTTTAATTTCCTCATTTTAATTTTTTTTAAACAAGTCGGCCGTCTCCCACTGAGGAAGGGTGACCCAAAAAGAAAGAAAATCCCCAAAAAGAAAATACTTTCATCATCATTCAACACTTTCACCTCACACATAATCACTGTTTTTGCAGAGGTGCTCAGAACAACAGTTTAGAAGCATATATGTACAAAGATGCACAGCATATCCCTCCAAACTGCTAATATCCCGAACCCCTCCTTTAGAGTACAGGCATTGTTCTTCCCATTTCCAGGACTCAAGTCCGGCTATATAAAAATAACCGGTTTCCCTGAATCCCTTCACTAAATATTACCCTGCTCACACTCCAACAGATTGTCAGGTCCCAAATACCATTCATCTCCATTCACTCCTATCGAACACGCTCATGCACGCCTGCTGGAAGGTAAACTCATTTTAAATACCACCCCAAATTCCTCCAACAACCTCTATTACTGATATTAAGAAGTTTCCTTTATTTAATTTTTCATGTCCTTTTATGATATTTTATGTGATTACCATGTCTCCTCTTTCCCTCCTATAAGCCATCTTTAGTGTTTTCAGCCTTTCATCATAACATACCTTTTTTTAACTCGTAACTATTTTGAAAATCCCTTCTTCTGTATGCACTACTAAATTTTAAGAGAACCTTTCATATTTCTTTTTTAGGTCACCCTGCCTGAGTGGGATATGGCCAGTTTGTTGGAAAAAAAATATTTTGAAGCTCTTCTATGGGCATTGTCCATTTCCCTGCCAATTTCTTTTCTTCATGCAAAATCTTAAGGATTTTCCAAAGTGGATAGCTCAGTACTTTTTCAAATTCTTTTTTAAAACTCATGTTCCTCTCCCATCTTGTCCTCTTGCTTCAATCTGTATGATACTGGTCACATTATCTTAACCCTTAAACTGTCCAAATGTAGATCTATGTTCATGCACGTAGCGCTCTGAACGTAGATCTATATTTTTTCACATAAAGCCTGTAAAAACGGATGAAGATCTACGTTTGGAGCGCTTCGTGCATGAATGAAGATCTATATTTGGACAGTTTAAGGGTTAAAGCATGAAATTTTTGTTCACTATTACCAAGATTTACTATCTCTGAAAATGCAGGACACTGTTGAAAAGTTGGTCTGCCTATTGTTTCCATTGTATTTCACAAGAGAGCTTACAAACAACCAGAAAGAATGTGTTGACACAGAATTGATCTCAGGCACTCAGCCTGTTCTTTGTTGAAATCAAGAGGCAGCTTCTTTCTCTAATGTCTTGTAGTTGCTGCAGAATGCTCCCTTAGGTTAGACAGTGTTTTGGCTTCCCTTTCATAAGGTAAGCTCTCTAACAGCAGTGTGGTGTGAATTGATAAAGAGCTACAAAGAAAGAATGGAAGAGCTAAGTCTGGGAAACAGACAGAGTAACCAAGCACTATAAGCTATTTACCAGGGATGTAACAAAAATAAGAAGGCATGGTTGGGAATTTCACACCCAAAGATATAAGAAAACATTTCTTCAATACAGGAGTGGAAGTGGAATAAACTGAATAATGACTCAGGGGAAGCAGACTTCACATAGGTTCAAAAATAGATATCACTGCTATTTCACATTAGTTTTTAGAAAGTTAAGAGGCAGGACTATGAACCAGAGCTCACCCCCTTTCCCCATTCCTCCCTCCTCACTACAAACCCAAATAATTAATTACAGTACTTTACATATTTACGTAAGCACTTTGTGATTTTGTTAACTGAAAGTGATACTAATGTCGACTTGCTAATGCTTTTGATTGTCCTGAAGCTAAAATTACTAAGTGTTGTATTTTTTATTTTTTTTATCTTAATTTTCTAATAGTTCACTGTATAAATTTTGTCTCTGCAGCACCCCATTTCAGCCTGGGAGAAGAAAGCCAAGACTCCAATAATAAAGATTTAGAGAAGACAAAAGCCTTCTCTCTTGTTTTATTCGAAGATGTAAGTAAAACTGTATCTGTGTTGAATATATATGGAGCACAGTTAATGGCTCTATTTAATTTTGATTTACTGCAGAATCTTTTGAAACAATATTTTCAGCCCAAAAACACATAATAGACATTATGCTTACGATGTTAAAACGTTCCTGAAAATTGTCAGTCAGGTGTTTGGAACTATGAACTTATTTTTCCCATAGACACCCAAGTCATGATCAGAGATGAATTCCAGAGCCTTAGTATTCCGTATTAGATTTCATTTATTTTTTTAACTAAGAATTTATCAAATATTTTACATTCAGTACTGTTCATTTTCACTTAAAAATGGTAATAAACATTAATGAATGTATGCATGGTCAAACTGATTATAAATACAGTATTATTATCAAAATAAGTGCTGAACCCATGTGGGTTTCACAGAAATCGAAGTGTCGTCCATTTTCACTTACAATTTATGGGTTAGTTATGAAGAGGGATTCACTCAGAGTGAATTATAGTAGATACTATATTACTGATATTATTTCCTATTTCTTAATATGTTTTTATAAATTACATTTAATTGCTTTTGTCCACCTCCATGGTTTGGTGTATTGAAATAAATTCATTTAATATTCCAAGTCTTAGTGATTGATGGGATTATAGTACTGCATTTGCTGATTATTTTACTTCATTTAAATCTCTCTCTAGATTGATATTGTATTTGAAGAATGGGATGATGGCTTCATCTCGACTGTCAACAATTTCATGGCAACCAGTAAGAGGCCTATTGTATTAACTGTGACTCAGGCTTCACCAAGTATCCTCTCAAGAATAAAGGGAATATATGAAAAGATGGAGTTTACAACACCATCAGAAGATCTTATTGGTACTGTATAATAATAACAACCTGTTTGCAGAAGCAGTACATACTAACCTCTTTGTAACCATTGGAACACAGCTTTACTCACTGTCTTGTCTTCAGTACAGTATTTAATATATTAAATCATTTTTGAAAATTTCTAATGTAACTCTTACTGCCTTCCCTCATAACTCATTCCATTGTTCTACCTTTCATTGAAGAAAATCTTTCTATTATTTTGGAGTCTTCTTCCTTAGTTTAAGAATATCCTTATCTCTTGTTTTCTATCCTTGTAAAATCTTATGCAATATTTGGTTATCATGTCTCCTATTTCTTCATAATTCATATTGTATTAATGTTGGTAGAATTACCGACAATATGTTAGGTAAAAGGACATGAGCGCAACTAATGTGACATTTCATTGTGGCAACATTTCGCTCTCCAGGAGCCCGAATAGTAATCAAAGAACCCAGTTTCCGCAGATGTAAATGCCTTGAATCATCATTAATCACTGTTTCTAGTACAATCAAGCAAAATAAAGGCAGCTTCATCATCTCTGAAGTATTAGCAAAAATCCTCCTCAAAACAATAAACCCTACCATCACATAGTCTACTACTAATACTACGCAAGAACTTGACAGAGGAGGAACACTGAAACAGACCTCAAATCCAACCACTAACAGAAGTATTTGTCTAACCTATTTTTATACTACCCAAAGAATAGCTTTTATAATCTTTTACTCATGTGCAAGTTGATTGTTCTACTATATTGTATTACTACTACAACTAATACTACTACTACCACTAGCATTACACCTCACTCTAAGTCTATATATACCCTCTGTGTCCGTGTATTGTTTGTAATGGCTTGATAAAGCTCGTGGAGAGTGAAACGTTGCCACAACAAAATGTCACATTAGTTACACTTGTATCATTTTACCTAACATAATTCATATTGTTTATGTCTTGGAGCAATTTCTAACTTAACCTGTCTGCCCTATTTTTTTTTTTTTTTTTTTTTTTTTTTTTTTTTTTTATGCAGACAATCTTACAGCTGGAGTTTTTTTTTTTTTTTTTTAGCTTGTTTTGTAGTTTCAGTAAATAATTTAGCAAATTTTTACAGCACAGCATTTGCAGCTGGTGAGTTTGGCCAATGGATATCATATCTGCTTTAAAGACCTAGTAATCCTTGTGAACACAAACAAAAGTGATATAAGACAGTCCATACTTGACCTTCAACTGCTGGCCATTTCAGGCTCATCACATGACCGGTGTGACTGTAGAACGTGTGAGGTATGTTTTTTAATAAGTCTGGCAAGATTTATTCATATGGTTTATTTCAAAAGTGGAATTCTCATTTCATGCTGCTATGTAAAATATATTTTGAACTCTTAACATACATACATTGGTGATTATCCATAGTTTTGACAATATTTTTAGCTTGTCAAGGAAGCAAGGTTTGTTATACAACTGCCATCAGTGTTGAATATCTTAACATTTTAAATTTTCCAGTTTTTGGGTATCATAATTAAGTTCTTAGTTAAAAGTTTAGATTTCAGTTTTTGTATCCACAGTTGAGTGTTATTGTCTTAGGGTAAATTCTTGTTATATTAACCTATTGACCAAAACAGTGCTGTAACTTACAGACTAAACAATCTGAATGATTCTACATTCATCCACATGCTGTGTATCTAGGGATGGTCCTGGAGATAAGATTTTTATGTTTTTCTCACTGACTTGCCACATTCACCTCCCCTACCTTCATCTGTGTTTCCATCATGTGCCTACAGGGGCATTTCCCATCACAGTAGGGTAATGCCAAAACAGGAAACACTGCTGTCTTCTAAGATAGCACAATTTAAATGATCATCTAAACTGCAACATCTCCATTTTTCCAGAGTGCAGACAGTGTACCTTCCCATTCCAGGACTCAAATCCGACTAAGTTCCTTGGAATCTTTTCACATATGTTACCTTGCTTGCATTCCATTATGTCGTATCCCAAAAATTGTTTTTCTTCATTCACTCTGATTTAACATACTCACACATGCCTGCTGGATACTCAAGCATATACCGTTCAAAACTACCTTCATCCCCTCATTGCAGTCCTTCCTGGAATGACCCCCCAACCCCTCCCTCCCTTCCCTAGATTTATACACCCACATGGTCAATCTGTTTTGTTCCATTCTTCCTAAATTACAAACTCTCTCAACCCTCTTCTTTGCATTCTGAATTGTACAGCACCTTTCATATTCTAATAACATGGTATTCTGCTCAGAATTTATAAGGTCAGCATAAATGTCTTTGTGCATCTAGGAAAACTTTTCACTTTTTTTTTTATCACTTCATGCTGCAGGTAATGAGTATTATTAAAAAAAATTAGATGTGAAGTTTAATGAAATTCTTTTCCTTATTTCAGGTGACAGATACATCTGTCATCTTGTGCAAGAAAAGCATTGATGGCTCGAGAGGAAAAGATCTGAGCCTAGGTGATATATTCCCGGAAGTAACAAACATTAAACCCAGAGATACTAAGTTATATAAAGCCGGTGTTTGTGGCAAGTTGCAAATGAAGGAAGATTTAAATGTCATGATTTCTGCATTAAAGTCTAATAAACAAGTGGCTGGGAGTGATGGTGTGCAAAAATTAGACAGGAAGATGTCTTGGACTCAAATGGCAGATAATATCAGCTCTTTTCTTCCATTCCCTCTGAAAAAGGAAGTGAATAAAGTAAAAAGATACCCCCTTAGTGCTAATGATCCACTTGTAAAAATGACAAGTTTTTGGCAGCGCAGCAGTTGGTTATCCTTAGACGATGACGATGATGATGATGATGAGCCACAGCCAGATGTTATAGAAGAGGCAGAGGAAAATGTAAAAAAAATTGAAATACCTCTAAATGTACAAAATGCTTCAAAGCTGTGTTTAAATTCATTGTCTAATTTATATGATACATTTACTCAATTAGATATTTTGGATTCTTCCCAATATTTAATTCATCCGAGAATACAAATTAAGGAGCGCGGATGGTGGGTACGCCAGCCAACTGCAGGGCTGAGCGATAGCCAAGGAAGTCTTCACTCACAATGGGCGCCATTAGATGTTATGAATGACATCACTCATGAATTGGGGCAAAAGGCAATGATTCATTGCAATGAAGAAATATGTTCTGTTTTAGAAGCAGTAACTGCAGAGGACTGGCCGCAACTGTGCCTGACCAGTGATAGCAGACAAAAACTGCCAAGTCTTCTGCCATATGTTTCTCTAGATGACAGGTGAGTAGAAAAGTGAATTAAAGATTTAAATATTTAAAATGTACTTATGCTGCATTGGCGTATCTGACCATCGTATGACTGAGTTAGTACTCGCCTATGAATGGTTGCAGGGGTTGAATCTTAGCTCCTGGCCTTGCCTCACAACTTGTTGTTTGCCATATTCTTTTCCTCCTAGCCTTATATCTACTCTTAAAGCTATGTATGGAGCTTGTCTCCACCAGTTCATTCAACTTTCCAGTCATTCTTAAACTGAAGAAATACTTCCTGACATCCCTGTGGGTCATCTGTATCTTTAACTTCCAGCCATGTCTCCGAGTTGTCATTTCTTTTTTTCTTGAGCCACTGATATCACTGATGGTTTCCCAAAATCACCACCTTGTGACATGCTACTTATAGTAGCTTGCTGGTTTTAAAAAATAATGGAATCCTAACTTATTTTAATAGGAGTAATAATAATGCTACAATTAACACAATTTTTGTTTCCAAGTTACTTGTATTTTTTTTTCCCTAGTAAAATTTGGCATACTGTAAGTAAATATATTATCTTATTGTCTAGCTTTTAATATTTATTATTTTCTTTCAGTGAAAGAAGCAGTCATTGGGACCTAATGGGAAGTATAGCATCAAGTTTACCTCTAGTGAACCAACTTAACAGAAGTGTGTATTTAGATTACTTCTCCACACTCAGAAGTATTTCTCGTTATGATGAACTCTGTTCTGCTCTTAGTAAAAAGCGCCGAGGACGCCGTTTCTTAAGCCAGTTAGCACAGTTAGGGCTTCATATTTCAGTACAAAATAAACTAAAAATGGCAAATGCCATGATTACATAATACTGTGCAAATTATGTCAAAATTTTCTTATAAATTTATTTATCATATATTTATTGAAAATATAGAATAAAATATAAATTTCAATTCTATGTACATTGTAAGATTCTTCTGTTGAAAAATTAAAAATGGCCTTTGTTTTATCTAAACAGATTTGTTAAGCAAAATATCAGTATTTTTACATATACAGTGGAACCATGGTTTTCGTCTAATCCGCTCCAGAAGGTTGGCTGAAAACCAATTTGTACAAAAACTGAAGTAATATCCCATAAGAAATAATGTAAATCCAATTAATCCGTTCCAGACAACCAAAAATATTAACAAAAGATACATTTTATAGAGAATAACTATAGTTTTACATACAGAAAACAGTGAGAAATAAATATAAATGTCTAATGAAATGGATAAATGAACATTTAACGTCACTTTTACCTTTATTGAAGACTTGTTGGCGTATGGAAGATGGTGAGGAGGGGAGAGATTATTGTTTGGAAGAGGAATTCCCCTCCATAAGGACTTCAGGTATCAAAGCCCTATCTGAGGTTACTTCCCTTCTTTGTCTTTTACTGGCACTAGGATCAGCTTGAGAGTCACTGGATCCCTGTCATACAAAAAATCTGTCCAGAGAGGACTGTTTCTGGCATCTCTTTAAGATTTGCCTAAAACAGGACATGACATTGTCATTGAATGTGTTGCTGACACGGCTTGCAACAGCTTTGTTACAGTGATATTCCTCCACAAAACTTTTCACCTCGCTTTACTTTGCACAAATGTCCTTAATCGCTGAAGAGGGCATGTTCTTTCCTCTCTCTTCCTCCTCCTCTGAAGCAATTTCCTCAGCTAAGGTCTGTTGCTGTTCCAGATGAAGGTCTTGCAGCTCTGCAGTGGTTAGCTCTTCCCTGTGGTCATCCACCAGCTCTTCCACATCCTGGCCACTCACTCACAACCCCATGGACTTCCCCAAAGACAATAGATTCCACAACAGGCGTAGGTTCGTCAGGGTCAGCTGGCACTCAGAACTTTCTTTGGCCCCATGGTGGCTTATTTAACAGTCGCAAGCACAAAAAACAATGGATTATTATGAAATGTTTTGGATGAACGTGTGGTGTAATGCTCACTGAACGAGTTACAAAGGCAGACTGAGTCACGAATGTATGAGCAGCCTCGTCCTGCGGGCAGGTAGACATGTCTGGTGTGATCAATTTCCAAGCGGATGTACGAAAACAGGGAAAATTTCGCCGAAAAAAAAGTGGTCGAAAACTGAATTGTAAGATAACCAGACCGGACAAAAACTGGGGTTCCACTGTAGTATATTTCTTCTTTTAGCAAACCGGTTGTATCCCACGGAGGCAGGGTGGCCCAAAACGAAAAATAGTTTCTCTCTCTAACTTTAGTAATGTACACAAGAGAAGGGGTTATTAGCCCCTTGCTCCCGACATGTTAGTCACCTCTTACGGAGGAAGAATTCTGTTCCACTTTCCCTTGGAGATAGTATATTTATTAATCTAATTATGACAACACCTTGATACGTTGAATCTAGTTTGTGAAAAATCAGCCATGCATAAAAACTTTTGAGGCATTCATTCCTCTATGAGTTCATGTACTAAGTACAGTGGACCCCCAGTATTCGATGGCATCGGTATTCGATAAATCCGGTATTCGATGCATTATATCGCAAAAAAATTTCCTCGGTATTCGATTGAAAACCCGGTATTCGATACGATTCGTACGAGACCTGTCCATATGTGGCCTGAACTGCCCCTTGTGTGCCAGTGTTTACAAGCCAGCCAGTGTGCACGCATCTAAGGATACATTCGGTACATTCCATATTATCACTGTGTTTGGTGCTTGCTTCTACAAAATAAGTCACCATGGGCCCCAAGAAAGCTTCTAGTGCCAACCCTGTGGTAAAAAGGGCGAGAATTAGTATGGAAATTAAGAAAGATTTTGAAGGGTTTGGGGCTAACCCTGAGAAGCCTATACCAGTTGTGGAATACATTGTGCCTACTTCAAAAATTAAGGAAATGTGTGCACAGTGGGTTGAAGTGCAAACCTTTATGGATGAAAATCACCCTAACACAGCTGTTACAGTGACAATGTTGTAGCCCATTTTAGACAAATCGTAAAGGAACGGGAGGTACAGAGCTCTATGGACAGATTTGTTGTGCGACAGAGGTCCAGTGACTCTCAAGCTGGTCCTAGTGGCATTAAAAGAAGAAGGGAAGTAACCCTGGAAAAGGACTTGCTACCTCAAGTCCTAATGGAAGGGGATTCCCCTTCTAAACACTTACACCTCTCCCCTCCTTCCATCCCATCAATCATCACCAGATCTTCATTAAAGGTAAGTGTCAATTATTTTATTGTTATTGTAATTATTCTATTGCATTAAACTTAATATTTCATGTAGTAAATTTTTTTTTTCATACTTTTGGGTGTCTTGCACGGATTAATTTGATTTTCATTATTTCTTATGAGGAAAATTTATTCGGTTTTCGATATTATCGGTATTCGATGAGCTCTCAGGAACGGATTAATATCAAATACCAGGGGTCCACTGTACTGTATGCCATCTGTATCCATGAAAAATTTGTTCCACAAGAAGCTCATGGATGATGAATTCATGAATACTGGACTTGTACATCAGTTGTCAAAAGCAATAGATACATTGTAGAATCCTGTGATCCCAGCAGTTTGATATATAGTAAATTGAACATTTCATCTGTAGTACAAATAGATCTTCTAACAAACATTTTTGTTTTTAACACACCGGCTGTCTCCCACCAAAGTAGGTTGATAAAAATAAAAAAATGCGTTCAGCATTCAGTCACTGCCTTGATGGAAATGTGCTGACATCATGGTTCAGATGACCCTCCAGTCTGCAACATCCTCACCCCTCCTTTAGAGTGCACACACTGACTCAGCACTCAGGCCCAGCTAACCAGTTTCCCTGATTTTTTTTTTTTTTTTTTTTTTCAACAAGTCGGCCATCTCCCACCGAAGCAGGGTGACCCAAAAATTAAGAAAATCCCCAAAAAGAAAATACTTTCATCATCATTCAGCACTTTCACCTCACTTGCACATAATCACTGTTTTTGCAGAGGTGCTCAGAATACAGCAGTTTAGAAGCATATATGTATAAAGATACACAATACATCCCTCCAAACTGCCAATATCCCTTCAAAAAGTTACTCTGTTGATACTACCAGATAGCAATTAATATGGTGAGGTGCTGTGATAGAAACGAGTCATTGATCCAAGAGCAAAGCTTACACGTAGCACATTAATATCATAAGTGAGTTGCAGATTTGTGAGCCCATCTGAATACTGCAGTAAAAATGTAGAATGTGGCTCCAGGATCAGGAAATACAGATTACACCATAATAGAGTATCGTCAAGTTTGGTTTAAAACCAAAGTTCGTGGATAATAAACAACAAGTCGTTAATCCTGGAAATGCCAGTCAGAGAATTCATGTATACTGAACTGAGGTAATTCAGCATGTGCTACAAAAATATACAGTATTTTAAATAAAACTCATTCTTAAACATTTGTCGAGTGACTGAACAGGCGTGATCCAGAGGCTTGGTCAGAGTAGTCTGGGTTATGAAGGCAAATAGTGAATCCTGAATTATTATTAATTATAACATTTGGGGGAGCACTAAACCTATAGGATTAAACAGCACCAGTGGGGGGGATGTGGAAGGTATTCAGGCCCTTTAAATTTAGGGGAAATGGGGCACAGATACAATTCCTTAGATCAAAGCCCTTCACCACATCAAAGAACCTTCCTTGAGGTGAGTGATCCTTGAGCCTTAACATGGTAGACTGCATTTTTGAAGAAGCCTTAAAATTACTTCTGCTTTCATTTTAAACTAAACTTTACCACTTAATGATTTTAGGTTATTTTATTAAAAGGTTAAACTTTATATTTTTATTATTTTTATTACTATCTTTAAAGTGACTAAGTTTCTTCCTGAAAATAAAAGAAAGACAAAAAGAATATAGTTGTTTAGTTTTCAGATAGCCTTGTGATTATCCTTCCATTACTTGTTAGACAGACATTGTATCTACCTATACTAGCATGGGAGTTGATTCCCCCAGCCTCCCTGATGGAAGTCACTGTCGCTAGGTAGCATGTCTGTCTCTTGATTGGTGGATGGAGGATCGAGTTTCCTCCACTTTCTGAATTACCCAGTCTTCTTTAATGCTTCATATGAACAGAAAAAAAAAATAACTGCTAGTGTGAACACTAAACTGTGCTAGGTGTTTCTGATAGAAGGCTGTAGTTTATTTATTTTTCCTGTTTAGCTTTTTGCTGCCATTTAATTTTCTCAATTTACCTTTAGTGGCCATTTTTTAAAATCTGGTACTCTAAGATATCACATACACAAGTTATAATCTTGTGCATACTTCACAAGTTGTTTTCTATATTTTTATTGTAGGATAGTCCTGAAATTACCTACAGAGGGTGTATCTCTGACATCAGTTCCAGCAGAATTGTTTTTAACACAAAGTATCATCCAAAACATTTTCCACCATTATAATACTTTGGTTGAAAACGTGAAGATATTGCATTTTGCTTTTTCATTACAAAAAGTAATGTGAGCATGCTAATAGCCAAACTACAGCCCTAATACACACAATTTTCTGTGCTTTCTTATTTTCTTTTTTTTTTTACTATTGCTTTCTTTTCTTGTATTTTATTTATGTCCTATTTGCTTATTGAGGCATGTCTCACTTTTCATGTTCTTATTTTTCCTGGCCTAAAACCATGTCATTGCAGTAGTACATACTAAACTCAGATTCAGAAATTTATTTTTGCAAAATTTGGATTCACCTAAGTGGTCTCATCCATTTTAACATACTAAGGTGCCTGGAGATCAAAGTCTTGTGCATTTTATTATTGTGATAATAGGGAAAAAATTTAAAATGTGGCATTATATACTTTTTGAGTCATTAACATAACAGTATAGCATCTGTAGATTAAGAAAGAATGAAAGCTATGATTTTAAAAATATTTTTGGACTAAGTGATTGTTGCAGTATAATTTTACTGTACTTAAATTATTATAATCAAGGGGAAGCGCTAAACCCGGAGGATTATACAGCGCCTGGGTGGGGGGATGTGGAAGGCATTCAGGCTTAATTTGGGGAACTGGAGCACAGATCCAATTCCCTAAATCAAGAGCCCCTCACCAACATCAAGGAACCTTCCTTGAGGGGACTGTACTTAAAAAAAAAAAAAAAAAAAGTGTGAGAAAGTAGTGGTTAAACTGTAGTACAGTGGACCCCCGCATACCGATATTAATCCGTGCAAGAGGGGTCATTGTTATGCGAAATAATCGGTATGCGAATGAATTTTCCCCATAAGAAATAATGGAAATCAAATTAATCCGTGCAAGACACCCAAAAGTATGAAAAAAAAATTTTACCACATGAAATATACATTTTCCTACACACAAAGAGAAGGATACATGCACAATAGTAGAGTAGTACATGCACAGTATATATTGTGCATGTACTAGTCTACTAAATGAAGAATAAATGACACTTACCTTTATTGAAGATGCAGCAATGACTGATGAGACACTGTGTCCTGGAGTGCTTTTCCTCCTGAGTACTGTAGGTCCTGTTTGGCATTTTCTTCCAGAACAGGCCTTATCACACTGTGTATGCCACTACGATTCTTAAATCTCTCAAACCAACCTTTGCTGGCTTTAAATTCACCAATATGAGCACTAGTTCCAGGCATTTTTTCCTGTTCACCTGGTGTTAGTCGACTTGTGTGGTTGCATCCTGGGAGACAAGATTAAGGACCCCAATGGAAATAAGTTAGACAGTCTTCGATGACACTGACTTTTTTGGGTTATCCTGGGTGGCAAATCCTCTGGGGTTAATTGTTTCTTGGTATTCTCAATAAGCCACACCAACAACGGTGCTACAGCAGCAGCAGCAGCTGACGGTGGTACAGCAGCAACAGACGATGCTACAGCAGCAGCAGACGATGCTACAGCGACAGCAGACGATGCTACAGCAGCAGCAGACGATGCCTACAGCAGCAGCAGCAGCTGACGGTGGTACAGCAGCAACAGACGATGCTACAGCAGCAGCAGCAGCTGACGGTGGTACAGCAGCAACAGACGATGCTACAGCAGCAGCAGACGATGCTACAGCAGCAGCAGCAGCTGACGGTGGTACAGCAGCAACAGACGATGCTACAGCAGCACAGACGATGCTACAGCAGCAACAGACGATGTTACAGCAGCAGCAGACGATGCTACAGCAGCAGCAGATGATGCTACAGCAGCAGCAGACGATGCTGCAGCAGCAGCAGACGATGCTACAGCAGCAGCAGCAGCTGACGGTGGTACAGCAGCAACAGACGATGCTACAGCAGCAGCAGACGATGCTACAGCAGCAACAGACGATGTTACAGCAGCAGCAGACGATGCTACAGCAGCAGCAGACGATGCTACAGCAGCAGCAGACGATGCTACAGCAGCAGCAGCAGCAGACGATGCTACAGCAGCAGCAGCAGACGATGCTACAGCAGCAGCAGACGATGCTACAGCAGCAGCAGACGATGCTACAGCAGCAGCAGCAGCTGACAGTGGACAGCAGCAACAGACGATGCTACAGCAGCAGCAGACGATGCTACAGCAGCAACAGACGATGTTACAGCAGCAGCAGACGATGCTACAGCAGCAGCAGATGATGCTACAGCAGCAGCAGACGATGCTGCAGCAGCAGCAGATGATGCTACAGCAGCAGCAGCAGCTGACGGTGGTACAGCAGCAACAGACGATGCTACAGCAGCAGCAGATGAGCTACAGCAGCAACAGAACGATGCTACAGCAGCAGCAGACGATGCTACAGCAGCAGCAGACGATGCTACAGCAGCAGCAGCAGCAGACGATGCTACAGCAGCAGCAGCAGACGATGCTACAGCAGCAGCAGACGATGCTACAGCAGCAGCAGCAGCTGACGGTGGTACAGCAGCAACAGACGATGCTACAGCAGCAGCAGACGATGCTACAGCAGCAACAGACGATGTTACAGCAGCAGCAGACGATGCTACAGCAGCAGCAGCAGCAGCTGTACCACCAATAGTAGCGATGGTTGATTGGGGTTTATTATACAACCTGGCCAGCTCAGAGACACGCACTCCACTTTCATACTTATCAATGATCTTTTTCTTCATCTCTATTGTAATTCTCACCCTTATTGCTGTAGGGTTGGCACTAGAAGCTTTCTTGGGGCCCATGGTCACTTATTTTCCAGAAAAAGCACCGAAAACACTGTAATAATACGAAATATTCCGATTGTATGCTTGGATGTTACTGCGGAGGCTGGCTGGTAAACAATGCCACCGGCGGCACATGTGAGGCTGGCTGAGGGCGCACATTGGACGCGTCTTGGACGAAAATCGGTGAGCGGGTTTTTAAGCGGTATGCGAGGCAAAATTTTTGCGATTAAAGCAAGCGGTATGCGGATTAATCGTTATGTGATGCCATCGGTATGCGGGGGTCCACTGTATATTTCTGTAATAAAAATGAATATAGTATGAAAAAGATAAGGAGGTAGAAGTTATTCCTTTTAAAAGGTACAAAGAACGTTGCTACAGCAAATGTGCCTTAACAGGTAAATTTGAGACTTTTCTTTTATAAGCCATGGGCACTGTGGTTTTTATGGTAGTGTTGTTTTTATAAGTGACAACTCAAAAACTATTCAGGCAGGACCAGTGGTTATT